CTAGGTTTATGAGACATTATCTGAAGACGGGATGACACAAAGCTAGCGCGAGACAATATTTTCTGGAGTCAGATATGCAGTACTCCAGAGGGATGTCTGTCAAATCGCTCATGTCCTTGATTTGGTTCATTTGAAGAGTTGCACTTCTGTTGCCCTGACGGCGAAATCTCTATGCCCACCTCACTTATCGCAGCCGGCACTTGATACCACTCCTTAGCATATGCAGGTACTAGCTCTCAGACATTGATCGTGTTGCTATTGGCCTTTATCGCACCAAGCTCAAGAGATTGGCTTTTCTTTTGAAAACTACACTAGGTAAGTTTTGCATTCTCGACTGGCAGCGCTTTTCTCATCTATGTTCGTTAGTCCTAGTTGGAACCCCGGAAAGAGGCTTTCGTACCGTCATATTTAATGGTAGGATGGACGATCTTTGGCCCTTTGCTCCCTCTTCTTTGAATATGATATTCTTTCCACGTCATCCTTCTTCAATATCTCAGCATTGCCTCCTTCCTGGTGTAGAGTTACGTCTCGCTTTATCGACGTAGACCCAGTGCGTCCACTGCGCTCAGTGTGTGTGTGAGTTTCGATAGGCATTATTCCCATATGAATAAGGAGAGAATAAAGAAATTCGTTCGACTAACAGCACGAATTAGTTTGGTAAGTTGAGACAGTTTCTTAGGTTCGACAATTAAATGGTATGAACTACCTTTCTGATGGCCGAGACTATATATGATATAACCAACTCGCCAGTAGAGCTGGTGTGAAGACGAGAGACTATGAACTTTTCGAGTCGGCTACTGACCATTAAATACAAGCTCGCCGTCTCACCACCGTTTAAAGCATTTCAATGATTTCGAGTCTGGGCATATGGCCATGGCCAGGGCGGTCCCAGCTATGCAACTCTCTACTTCTGTTTATGCTTGTTCCTGCCTATCAATGATCTTGGGTCTCTCGAATGATGAAACAGGATAATTGTGTATTGGACTAGGCAGTAGTGACACCTAATTGACTAACGACAAGATGGTCGCTGTAGCCAACGTACAGACAATAATTTTGCTGCTTGATCCACTTAAGCATTACAATTCGTCAACAGAGGGGATGATATTGTCTCAAGGTGGGTGTGATGAGGACCAATAGATACACAAGCGATGACTCGGAGCCAGTCCTGTGCACACTTGGTGGATGGGCGATTGTGTCAAGTTGTGCCTACTGCGAGCCCAGAGGGTGGTAGCATCAATCCTCGATATCCAATCATTCCACAAGGTGCGACACTGACAGAGGTGCAAGGAAGCTTCGAAAGGAGATCGTTGGGTCGTATCAGCCCACCGGTGTCGACAGTTTCCCCCCCCCCCCCCCCGCTCATTCATTAAATACCTCACCGGTTCGAGTTCGTGGTATCGTCGCTTCGATCGCGTATCCTTTGCAATAGAGCCCCCTTCGTACGAGAGTTAGCTACTGAGGTCATGGTAATTATGATGCTCATAAGTATCTCTTTTCCTTAGAGATGTAGAGCTTCTTCCATCGGATTAGGTTACCATCCGTGACATATATGTCCTTCAAGTTCACCCGTGTAGTTGGAAAAGACGCTATGCCAGCCACAAGAGGAGAAGGGTCAGGCAACAATGTCTGATTGAAATCATGTTGACGACCTTTTATATATATATACATGAATTGGGAGACCTAGAATTGCATTTATCAATGTCCAAATTAACAAAGTGTTAGGAAACATTAAGCTGTTGGCATTAGCTACACGACGTTACACTTGTACAGCCTCTCCTGCCGATCCATATGGCTATTCAAATCATAGGCTCCCCTGAATGCGTCTTGACAATTGGGATAACTGCATTAGAGTCCTCCGTTTTGGTTATGAGAAAGTGGCCGCGTGCGACTTCCTTTCACTCCTGCTGCTGTTGCTATGCTTCTCATAGGATTGTGGACAGGCTGAGAACCCGCCCTGACTGCTAGTAGTTTTATTCTGGATCTTTGGTGATGAGAATATATGGTTCAGTTTTATGCCTACGATGAGAAAGACGACAACTTGTGCCTTTCTTCAATGCGCTCTATTGATTTCGTTGTTAGCGCCTCGCACCTACAGTGGTTTTCATTAGATACATTGCACAGACACGCCAATACATACAGATGTGAATCCAAGAACAAGGGAGTTCAAGATATGTAGCATTGAAACGGGATGTCTGAACACGAAAGCTGCAAGGCAGACTCGAAGGATCTGACCACTTGCAATGTCGGCTAGAGTGTGACGCGTTTCTAATATTCACATTCTTGATGATACCAGGAAAAGAGAACAACTCGCAGGCTAATGTGATCTGAGATGTTCACATGGTCCTAACTTGCGTTTCCGCCTACTCAATCCATGTAACATGTGAAGCTCTTGCTCGGGCGTCCTCTTTATGGCTTAACGGGCAGCCTTTCAAGCTTCTGGTCTAATCCGATTACCAGGTCACTGACAGGACGCCCAAAGTTTTAAGAGTGGTCGCCATGGCGGCCACCGCGCAGGCATCAACTTTGACTAGCCTCTCAATTGGTGAGGCATCTAGACTAGTGCGGCAGAACTTGCAAAACTTGCAAAAGTTCTTAATACTGTAATGACTTATTCTGGGGTCTTATCAGTGTTTGCTTCCGAACAGCATCGCAGCATATTCGCAAGGGCTGACTGTTATTAGTCCTCGCTACATCCACATTCTATCCCCTCTCGACAAACATTTCTTGTCACATTCTACACTCGTGAAACCATGTGCTAGTGAAGATCAGCTCAACCCCAGAGTAAGACTCATCAAGTCTCGGAGCCTTTCGCCCTGTGTGGATGGCGTGGGCCAACATTAACACCTTGAACACGGTCTGACCATCTGGTGGTTTAGCGTGCGTATTAATCGGCTCTCGCTGATCCAGCTTGGCGAGGTACGACCAAGACGTTGGTGTCGCGTAGGCACTAAGTTTCGACCTCCTTGTGTCACTCGCATCGAATGGCCCAAAGGGCTCCGCGCTACTATGTCTTCCAGTATCAAAGATATGATTCGTCCAGCCTTCTCTTACTCTCAAGAGTTACGAATTTATCATTAAGGTCTAGATATCCAGGCGTGATCTTTTCTCTCAAGTTCACATTACTGACCAGTTAGTATTGAGTTTCTCTAGCTCTTCGCTGTTTGTGTTTATTTTGGCCTTCATCATGGAATCACCTTTCTTCCGAGTTCAGTGGAGCAGACTACTATGGTGTCCCCCTACGGTGACCTTCAAAGACACTCTCTACGATAGTATCTCACGACCGGGAACATTTCGGCCTACTCCACCTCCGTCCGCAGCGATTCCCATTCATGACGCCATTAATATTTTGGTCGATATCCGACGTTTCAGTATGCTTCCAACACCTTACATCGATAATGTTATAAACGAAGCACAAATGGTCGCAAAGCAGTTCACTTCCCAGTGGAAAGCAAACCAGATCATGAAATCGCAGACGGCAGAAGTCTACACAATCGGCGCGACGGCACGTACCTTTTGGAGGGTAATTCTATCTCAGCTTGCTGGAGCCAGGGCATTCTCACACTATTCTGCCGATGAGATTGTGATCAGTATCACGCCCCACGACGGTCAACCTGTCAACTATACCTGGGACCAGATTACGCAGGCATACAAGAAGTTTTCACCAACAACGCCCCCAGATAGTCCCTCTGAAGGTTCTGCATACGTAGAACTATAGGTCGAGGATGAGGGCTACTAGCAGGCAAGGAGGCAGCAATCCTGTCGTCTTGAATCTCACGAAAGGCTCAATTGAGGCTTGGGATCGGCATAGCTGTGTAGAGTAGGGGTCTGCAGCTGGCGGACATGACCCCCTGTGGAGGGCACAAGTGGGACCTGACTTTACACCTTGGACCGTTGCGAAGATATGGATCGGAGTCAAGTATTCGGTCTTTCTCGACTCTGATACCGATTTTATGGGACTACCTGACTCAGTTGACCCTAGTTTCGATCATCTTTTGGGGGCAGTGATTGAGGTAGGAACTGGAGTCATGGCCTTCCGACCGGTGAGGCCTTCGCTTGGCGCTATGCGGACTTCTCGACGTCCCTACTTACCAATGACGGTCCTGAATATGGCAAAATCTGTTGCCACGCTCGCGAATTTTTCTGTCCGTCCCAGGTTGCAGATCTTAAAGTGAATGGCTGGAAGGTAACAGCATCGGTCCTTTGCCTCGTAATGCCCGGGGTCGGTATGCAGGGTCAACAAATGCTTGTAGAGATGCTCTCCATAGCTTCCCATGCTGAGTGGAGGGGCTCATGAAATTGGGACAAAATCATTGTTACTCAGTGGTGATGATCATGAGAATGTAGGAAGTGTCAGTAACTAGCCCTGAGGTAAAATATTCACAACAAAGAAAGCCTAGTAGGCCGTAACTTGATGGCTGTACGGTAAAACGAAGACTGAGCAGCCTCGTAAGAGTGGATGGCTTTTGATGAGTTTCTGAAGGAGACATTGGTGCTGCATTTGATTTGCTAGTGTCTGGATGATATGGCTGGATGGGACTTTCTTAGGTTCTAGGTATGAGCTGGTATTTCATAGGCTGTCTCTCGCTTTTGTTGGTAGGCGTCGCGATGGCATTGAAGGTTCGATTGTTCAGTGCATAACGGAAGACACGGCCGAAGTTATGAAGTCCATTGTCTCCCAGGAAGCATAGCTTGGCCTCGCCGCGTTTGCAGAGAGTATCATTATTCATCACAAGGCCAACCGCGTTACAGCTCTCACGTGATTTATACTCTCGACCAAAAATGAAAGTCACGTGCGATGATCCGGGCAAGAGATCGCGACAGAGCGGGACAAGGCTAGACACGTGATGGTATTACCACGAAGCCGCTGTGGTAACTATGTGCCTCGAAACCTTTGGCTTTTAGACAATCAGTCAGCTTCAGACAAGTAAGCCCCGTGCCCCTGTTGCATCCACATCCACTGAGGATGATTTAGTCTTCGGCGACTCGCTACACCTTCCCCCCAAGGCTCTCGTGGTTGCCTAAACCCTGTAGGCTCTGGCCTGACTCACACCCTCTGATCCAATCAACCATTCCTCAGGCGCCGAGGGCTTGAAATCGTGTCCCGATCTCCCATATCACTGACTGCTTCCACCCGGGCGAGTTTCATGCTGACGGCGGTCAAAGCAGGCTGCTGGTTCTCCGCAGCAGCCGCAGGCACCCTTGGGAGTGTTATTGTAACAGTACTTACTGAGTGCAACAGCGTTTCCCCTTAAGGGTCCTTTCCTTCATGACCTTCGTTTTCTTGCACACAGCACTTCAGGATAGGCTTTCTCATCTGCTTCCATTACCCTCTATTTCGGTCTGCGTTATACAATCGTTGGACAGGAATAGCATTCGAGTCTACACAGAGGCTGTTTGTGTCTTGTCCTTTTGTCACCATGAGCTGCGAAGAAGGGTTTTCGGACGAAGAAGACCACCTCGAACCCTTGCGATCTCAGATCTTAGGTTGTCTTGATGGAATCCATACTGCAGGGTCATTTGTAACAAGCGCCCACGACGTCGAGCACGTTCACCCTGGCCTGGTGGTCAGTGGTATCGGTCCTATTCGACTTCCCTTGTGCCAGGATGATGCCAACGCTCTCATTGGATTGAGCCGTCGCGCTCCATTCGGCAAGGGGAGCAAAACGTTGGTTGATGAGACTGTGAGGAAGACTTGGGAGATCGATGGAAAAGAGTTGTCATTCAAACATGAAGCCTGGTATAACTGGCTGGATGGTGTTGTCGGAAATGTCTCCAAGGGCCTGGGCGTCCATGGCGGTGCTGGCAATGTACGAGCTGAGCTCTACAAGTTACTGGTGTATGAAGAGGGCGCCTTTTTCAAGCCTCACAAAGAGTATGACCGAAGGACAGCTCTATATCTTGCACAATACTGACTCATCATAGCACGGAGAAGACGAAAGATATGTTTGGAACTCTGGTCATTTGCCTACCCTCCGAGCACGTTGGTGGCGGGGTACGCCTCATTCACGGTCTGGACGAAAGAGTTCTCGAGACGGACAAGTGCTCCTCTTATGGCGTCTCTTATCTGGCTTGGTAAGCTGAGACCTCGCTCAATGTATTTCAACGCTAACAGGCCGTGAAGGTATAGTGATGTGTCCCATGAGGTAGGTGGACTAGATCAGTCAGATACAATATCGCGACTCACAAGAACAGGTGTTGTCAGTTCAATCCGGGTACCGACTCGTTTTGACATACAACCTCATCAACACTACTTCTGACCGTCATCCTTCGGCCGCTGCACTGGACGTTGAACAGTCCAACATCGAGGCAACACTCGGCGGGTGGTGTTCTATGCCAGACAAACCACGGTTCATGTGCTACGTTCTCCAGCACAAATACACCAGTGCAAAACTCCGACTCAGCGGTCTGAAAGGTGATGACTATTATCGCTGTTGTTGGCTCGACAGAGCTTGCCGGTCAAACGGTCGCTTCTGTCTTGTCTTGGCCCGGCTGGAGCTGACAGTCACTCGGATTAACGACGAGGAATGCCTGGATCAGGGCGACGAAGAGCTCTGTTTGAACGATATTGTCACGCTAGAGGGGTTCCAGCTTCAGGATTCCTTGTCCATAAGGAAGGACAGTCTCGCACAGAGAGGACTATATGAGTCTCGTGAACACGATGAACAATGGGGAGGGGAACACTTGGGCAATCAGCACGCTGATATCGAACAAGTAAACCGTGATGCTGTACGCGTGGTGCTTAGTTCAAGTCCGAATCCGTGCTTACAATGTATTAGGTCGCTGTCATTGTTTCTCGGGACGAGATGACGGAATTTCTCCTTGGAAATGGCCGTACCTTTGCCCATTACGCGGAGTTTCTCCAACGGCTTCTCGCTGAGCTGAAGCGCCAGAACGGCGATGAAGGTCATCTCCTCCGTGAAATGATCGTCCAGACATGCCAAAAGCACACCGAAAGACGGTACCATAACAGTGGCGACAAAGATCGTTTCATGGGCGCAACAGCAGTAGCGTCACTACAAATCGAGAATCCCCCGGCAGCCAAAGCGGCCCTTCACGCTGTGCGGGACAGCTTCGACGCATCTACCTTCCAGAACCTCGGTAGACTGGGGTTTGAGAAAACGAGAGAATTGTAAGCATGGACGTGAATTGTACCTCAGCCTCCGCTAAACTACTATTTTAGTTGTACAGACGCCTTTTCTCGCATTTCGAAACTGCACCTCGTTGCTCGTGGTCTCCGAGCGTTCCGCTCTGGTGTATCAAGTGCTGTTCGATTAGACGCCAGTGAAGCATCAGAACAGGCCGTCTACCAATGGGCTGTAGATGTCCTCTTCAAGGCTTTGAGTTCGGTCGTAGTGGTCTTGCCCAAGGATGCAGGAGCCATAGTTCAGATCGTCGACGCCTATGAAGACGAAAGACTTTTAGAAAGGTAAGTTTTCTTCACCATCTAAACGCATCTGGTTCATTTTTCTCTTTACGAGGATGCTGGCTCATCCTCTGCTCATATAGCATGAACACTTTCGTAGGTCGCTTTTTCGATGACGCGACCTTCATAAACGCCCTCTTCGCGGAAATCCTTTGCTACTCCAAAACGGTTCAGGAACCAAACTTGCTTGTGCAACGTCTTATTCCACCAATTTTCGACAAGGCAATGTCCTCTTTCCGGTTGCAACAATTTTCGTCTCTTTCGAAACTAAGGTCACCCCAGGAAGACTATCCATTTTCGTCGTGGCCCGATATCATTTCACACAGCGAGAAGAGCGAAAAGGATGCCTCTGTTGTTGCGTCACTGTATCGTCAACTTGTGAGAGATGATTTGGACAAGGCGGGACAACTCCTTGAGAAGATCGCGAACGACACTGCAAGTATCCACCAAGACGACCTCGACCGCTTTATCATCCCACTCCTGTGCGAAATGATCGATATCCCCGAGCGTCAACCATCTGAGGCTGCACCATTCTATTCCAAAATTATCTCCACCTATATTGAGAGGACGGTTCAGAAGGAGCCTCCGAAGCCGCAGGACTGGTCCCTACCGGACGATGCCCGAGAGTGCTATTGGGCAGACTGTACTTACTGCCCTGTTGTGCGTGAGTTTCTGGGGAATCCAAGCCGAGAGGACTGGGACTTCACCATTTCTGAGGATCGGTATTACGACTTCACTCGCCACCTGCCGTTTCATTACACGACGACGAGGGGGAAAAGAGGAGAGCATTACGACATCAAGGTCACTAAGTCACTCAAGACATAGGAACGAGAACACGAGGCATGGCGAGGCAGATTTGAACGTGCCCAATCGGCTCTTCGGCGGCTGCCCGAGTCATCCCTACGCCGATGCCTTGGGGATGGCGAGTATCAGGACTTGATGGGACTTCAAATTGTCAAATTGCCGACGGCGGATGTGGCCACGGATCCGCCAAACTCTGCCCAGGCAGTAGCAGCCGGGAAGCGGAAGAGGAAAAGGAGGAGGCTTTGATCCCAATATGAAAGCAGAAGCTGCGGTCATGCTTCTAGGCACCGGGATGGAGGTCACTATATCAAAATTATACACCTCAAAATTCACTTGACATTTGGTCACCAGCTCCTTTGATCGATGACTGGCTTTGTTCGATGTGCAAGCCGTTGTGATCTTTTGTTGTTGTACAAAAACTCAGATCTGCTCATTTGAACTTGTATCGGCTCAGACTCCGTCGCTTGTCTTCGTCGTTCGGAGATGTATTGTGCAGCACGCACACGCCCACACATTGGCTCTTTCTTCTGAGTTGATAATGTGGAAACGTCTTGACGAACAGGCTGGCTCTGGACAATAGTGCCTGTCTGTGTGCTTAGATTGATTGAAGAGAGCTCAATCAAAAGTTTAGCTCTCTGCGTTTTACAGCTCTGCCGTTCTTGCGCCTCATTCTGATATCTTGCTAAGCTTTTTTCCATAAGTCGCCCTGGGGCCCTTTTTTGTTAGCAGAGAATAGTATACCGACGGAAGGGCTTACCCTTCAGCGAATGACATCGCGCTACCTGAAGAGGAATGCTGCCATAATTGCGATCTCACTAGACCCTGGAGCTGCTTACTGTATTGCTCCGATTTTGCTTCCATTGAGTTCACAAGCAGCCAGACAGAGAAAACTAGCAGATCGGAGAGAAGTTTCGATATAATGTGCCACTAGATATTAATTAGGGAAGGACAATGAATCCGGTGTTGCTTCTTTTGAAAGACTAAACACTCTGGCTGGTAGCTCCGTCAATTTCGATTGATAAAGTTGACAGTTACTCTTGCCGTCTATCCGCGTTCGAATAGAACACTTTTTGAAGATAATTCGGGAGGCTGGGGTTTGACCGCCAATAGCTACTAACGAAAGTATTGGACGAGGAGCGCGGAGCGCATTTGTAACGTCTTCAACGGAAGTGGGAGTTGCTGATATCGAATTATGAACGAGAAGTATTGCGTAGGCAGCAACTTCGGGAGATAGAAAGTGCCAAGGCCTTAAATTGGCATACGAATGAGAGAAAGAGATTTCGGAAGCACCTGCGTTTGACCAGAGTCGGCCCTACTCAAGAGGAGCATTCTGTTAGACGGCAAGTACACTAGACCAACTGATAGTCGGGGGTCTAATGTGATGTATTGACGAGTCTGTGCTCGCTCACTAGGTGGAGGTTCTCTGACTGTTTACGGAGTAAAAAGGAGCGTAAATTTTTCCTCCGGGTGAAGCATTTCTTGTTGCCGCATCAACTCTCGCAAGAAGATATCTACAGGCCTAGACGGGGGCCCCAGAAGTTGCCTCGTCAACAAGCGCTCCTCCGGGTAGAATAGGATGAAAGAGTAACTATATGGGGCTGTAAAACAAGGGCGTATTGAGACTAGTACAGGTTCTCAACTTGTAAAGACAGGTATTAGCGGAGTACGCTGCGGACTGCTATCTCTCTCCGTTCAACACATTCTGAAGAAATAAACTGTTAAGGATATGAGATTATGCTCGGACTCGGAATGTTTCCTCATTACTTCGTTTTTTCCTTCATCACAAACATGGCTCCCATGCTGCACATATATATACACACTCTCAGAGAGAGATTCCGCAGGCTGGAGTGTATTTACAATGATGACCAAGAAATGACTAATCCTTCTCCTTGTCACTTCCCACATCGGAAGGTATCTGGACCAAATCTTCAACATAAACATCTTCACGTGCGCAGCACAGTATCTGTCCCGAATCAGGGGCTGGAATAAAAAACGAAGATTAGCACATCAGCAATAGGAGTCCACTTATGCCAACAAAGTATCAAGTGCTGTCAAGTAAGCCAAAATCAATGGTGGTCGTCGTAGTGGCTCTGAGCTGGTAAGTCGCCGAACTCTCTTCCATGGAGTTATCCGATCGAGAATCTTGAGTGTGAGGTATACAGGACATTTTCGGCTACTTTGTGAAACGCAGCACAGGGAATTCACAATGAAATTGTCTAAATTTACTTCTGTATATGACGAGGATGTCATATCTATCAAGCCCAGGTACTAGCCACTTCTACTCCTCGTCAAAAACGCACCAAATTAAACGACTAGAGGGAGAAACCTGGTACAGGATTGGAGGGTGTCGAGGACTCTAGTGTCATTCATCACCAAGTCTGTGCCTCAGACTGTGATCCAGGGTGTGACTTAGTCTCACTTTGGCATCCTTGTTGTAGTCGGCACTCCATGCAGGGCATCCCAAACAAGCGACTATTGCCAAGGTCAGCCAACACAGAACAAAGCGGAGGGGACCCGTGGATCCCGTGCGGCGATCACGTCCACGGTATGCGCATACACCTGCGCAGACGAGTGAATATTGTCACACAGAAGAAAAGGAGGGCCGGGAAGAGTAGAAACCCTAAAGTGAGAACAAGTGTGATGATTGTGCTATGAAGGGTTTATGCAGCTACTTATAGCTGCTACACCCTCACCCTCTGCCTGGCGGTACTATAGGTAGTGCCCTGGTGGCGCTCCTGCCTGGCAGGCAGGAGGCTACACATCACGTGACCTGGGATCCAACTGGGAGGGCCTGACACGCACATAGAAACAGAACTAATATTAGGATTGTAGGCAGGGACATCTCTGCTTATAGTCAGACGCTGCACAACAATTCAACTCTTACGGCGGCTGGGTCAGTATATGAAATTGGAAAAAAAACCCTTTAATTTGGGAGGTCGGCCTAGATGTCCAGCAAGATCAGCGCAACATCACATGATCACATACATTGTGGTTGTAGCAGCACGAAGATAATTAATCTGAAGTAAAGGGTTGGGGGTGACCCCTAAATTGTACGTAAGACCAGAGCACTGTGGTCGTTCGAATCTGGCTATCATTGACGCCGCTTTTGGAGGCATCTTCTTGCCCTTTGCTTTCACGCGTCATAACGATAAATCAACCTCAACCGAAGGCATCTCAAACTCCAAGCATGGCTGGGAACACATTTCCAGATCCTTTTGTTATACAATCAATATCCGAACATACCCACACCGCCATACTCCTTCACGGTCTTGGAAGCAACGGCGAAACATTCGGAAGGGAGCTGCTGCGCTCCGGTGTCTCATCTAGTGGTCAAAGCCTCGCCGACTCATTTCCTGGGATGAGGTTTGTTTTTCCTACCGCTCAAAAACGGCGATCATCAGCATTTAAACGGGCGACTATAAACCAATGGTTCGATATAGCATCTTTAGATGATCCATCCAAACGCAGAGAGCTGCAGATTGACGGTCTCACCGAGTCAGCGAAGCATATCTGGTCAATCTTGAGACAAGAAGCGGATGCGGTCCCTCTTCAAAACATTATTTAAGAGGGCTTGAGCCAGGGCTGTGCCATGGCACTATTTGCATTATTGAGCTTGGTTTTTTCCATTGGGTGCTTCATCGGTCTCAGCGGTTGGCTTCCGTTCTGTAAGGACATGATGGAGCTTGTCAGCTACGATGGTCCCAGCAGTGAAAATGAGGCAGACGAAGTTCCTGTGTTTGGTGAAGACAGTGACAATGATGGGGAGGACGAAAGCCTGCCCATTCAGGTCATTGGTCTCGTGAGGGATATCGTATCTGTGGGTAAAATCGACACCAAGCGTTCAAGTCACAATCGCCAGAACTCAAGCCTCGCAACCCCAGTATTCCTTGGACATGGGAGGGAAGACCTGAAAATAAATTGCAGCCTTGGAGAGGAAGCTGCTAATACTCTCACAGAATTGGGTATGGATGTTACGTGGCGCCTCTATTCAAAGCTTGGCCACTGGTATAAGATTCCGGATGAGATCGATGATATTGTGGATTTCCTCGCGGGGAAACTAACTATAATCGAAGCGAACTTGGGACGTATTCAAACTTGTGAGCTAAGCATTCTGTCATGACGCGGTTCTTCATACCATTTACTGGGAAGCTGTACATGATGGCTTCTGAGCAAAGCACGAGTCCACTATCAGCGGATCTACAGGACAGAGTATCCATCTTCACCGCTGAAATCATCGACCTGTTCGCCAACAGATGCATCGGTCCCAAGCCTACACGACCAGTGGACTGGCGGCGTGCCGGCTGCGGTTGTGGCTGCGAGATGTGTCTGCAGCTCGATTCCTTCCTCGGTAATCCCTCGCAAGAAGAATTTTCGATCTCTGCAGGAAATGAGGATGGCATGCGACACTTGACTGGTCGGTTGCCTGGCATCGACCAACCCTTCTGGAAAGGAGAAAAGCCCGAGAATGAAACGCAGGTCGAACCTGGTTTCAAGCTCAAGGTCCGCAAGACGGTGAGGGCATGATCCCACGCCGTAGAATTATGGAAAGCAAGACCGAGACGCGGCTCGGGCGATGTTTGACAAAGCAATCGACGACGAGGGACTGAGGAACAGCCTGAGAGTGTGCCTTGAACGGCTCGGCGAGGACGCTCGTTCAGGGGGAATTACTATATTTCTCTAAGAAATTCAACGAAAGTCGCTAAAAAGAAGCATTTAGGCCAAGAGAATGATATCCTCTATCCTCTACAATGTATTATTGCCGTTACGGTTATATGGACCGTAAAGCCACCTACCAGGCAGTTCTTGAACAACACGTACTCCCCTTACACCAAGCTACAGGCGCTAGCGGTAGCCCAAACACCTAGAGAACTGTCAATGGTAGGAAGGAACGATGTCTAACAAAGACCGTTCATGCCCACCACCTCTTTGACTGTGCGCAGCACTCGAGGCCACTCTTTAAGAAATTCTTGACAAGGGTTGGAGGAGGTTGTAGCAGCACGAAGAACTGAAACTACTGGAAACCAGTGTAGCAGTCGGAGACCCTCACCGATTTCTTAGCACTAAAATTGGGACATTTTGCGTGCCAAGACTTGTAAAGACTGCGTCGAAGCGTATCGCCTCGACACGCTTCGAAGGCCTCTGGCCACGTGATTGTATTGTTACGAAGTGCCCCGGTATGACCCGGTACACCCTTCGAAACCTATATAGTCTGACGTCCGACAATAATCACAAAATCACAAACTTCTCGTCACGTGCCATAACGACCTGAGCGTAGCTATGGTCACGTGACCTATGTAGTGTATTTCCCGGACAGGGACCTAGCTCTTTACTTCCTGCCATTAATAGGCAATCCTCGAGAATACCTTAAGTGGGTTAACGGTAAGTTTGACGATAAGGTTAACAGGCAATTAGATGTCGGCAAGTACTTTAGTTATGTGAAAATGTCGTGGATGTCAGCATGCAAGACTATTGGCACGACCAGAAGGTATTAAATAATTGTTCTGCTGGCGACAAGGGTCAAGATATAACGTTTTTAACTAGACAGTTCGATAATTTGGTAGATTAGGCTTGGACTAGGAGACTTCGCATTGTGAATCGTGATCTGAAGAGGGGATGGCACAAAGCTAACGCGGAATATTATTCTCTGGAGGCAGATATGCAGTGCGCCAGACAGAGGTCTGTCATGTCATTGATTTGGTTGCTTTGAAGAGTTGCGCTTCTGTTGCCCACGCGACCAAATCTCTGCGCCCATCTCATTTATCGCAGCAGGTACTTGATACCACTCCTTAGCAGATGTAGGGACTAGCTGTTGTGATATGAGCTCAACTGACTATCACGAGATTCATAAAAGCCTTATGGAATCATTCCGCATGCTTGGAAATTGTGAGGAAGCTTCTAGAGTGTCACTCGGCGTATTTACACCCTCTGCATTCCGAGAGAGTAGATAGAATAAGAATAACAACATATGCCTCCATTGCGATAATCCACAACACTAGCTCTCAGTCATTGGTCGTGTGATCTATATTCGTTAGTGATATTTGAAACCCTAGAACGAGGCTTTCATACCGTCGTATTTAATAGTAGGATGAATGATCTTTGGCCCTTTGTTCTCTCTTCTTTGAATATGTTATTCTTTCTATGTCTTTTTGCTTCAATATCTCTGCCTTGCCTCCTTCCTGGTGTAGAGTTACATCTCGCTTTATCGACGTAGGCCCTGTGCGTCCGCTGCGCTCAGTGTGTGTGTGAGTTTTGACGGGCATTGTTCCTATATAAATAAGGAGGTGATAAAGGATTTCGTCCAACAACACGGATTAGCCTGGGAAGTTGAGACGCTGTCTTAGGCTCGATGATTGAAAGGTATAAATTATCTTCTTGTTGGCCGAGAAGCTTCATTTCCTTCCAGGACTGGGAAGCTTGAAACAAGCCACCAGCAGATGATTCGATCGTCATACACAAACAAAAGTGAAATTCGCATAAAGCTGAAGTCCGCGCACTGCTGTCTAGGCCGCACAACGAAGTCTGAAAGGAGTGTATAGGCATTTAAACTTACTGGGGGAGTGATATACGATAGCAAGAAATCACAGAACTGTTGCTAAATTGGACATTTCCTGAATTATTTCTGGACATGGCCAAATATCTGCTGCTCTAGAGACTGCCATTGCCTTCTCATCACTACGTTACATATCTGCATCCTTTGACAGGCATCGTAAAGACTGTCCCGCCGAATCTGCCGCTGCTGGGAGGTATTCAGAATGCCATCCACCGTGTCCCAGAGCATGATCTGGTAATGATTACTCTCGTACAGCCGGTTTCCCACTCGATACAGCCACGCAACACGAATCAAGGGCCGGGCATCAGGATCAGGCAAGGTACGGATCTCACGCACCTTGGCATAATTCTTTTCTCCACTAGGCACTCGCTCTCCCTGCAGCCGGATCACCACATAGTCGCCGCTGTGAATGCGCTCGTCGCGCAATGGACACGATGCAACCACGTCCAGGATTCGCCAAGGAGGCAAATTCTCTTTCAATGGGACGATGGTGTATGTCACCCGGTTTCTGTTGAATTTAACATCGAAAAATTCTTCCATGGGCGCTATGTCAGTCAGGCTTGGTGCCGACGCCAGGGCGGATGATGTGGAAGACGGAGAGGTTTGTATGTCTGCTTCTTCTGCTTCTTCTGCTTCTTCTGCTTCTTCTGCTTCTTCTGCTTCTTCTGCTTCCATATCCGCTTCTATCGACTTCATGGGCTTGATGGACTCACCGAGATCAATTGGATGGACGTCTCTGATCTCGGAAATGGCCCGAACTCGTCCTGCTCTACATACTGCATCTGTTTCGGCCTCCTCTTCCCCTAGGTTCATAATAGTGTTCCAGTAAGCTTGGTTAGGAGTCTGCGCTCTTTTCCCTTCTTGATAGGAAGATCGGATCTCACGATGTTGTAAATTATGTCGCTCGCTGGTGGCAGTAGGAAGGTCGGTTGGAGGAAGAGCGGCTGCAACAGTCTTTCTCCGCTTCGATGGCCGACCTGGTGGAATCAAGCGTTGCATCTTGGTGGGATTTTGGCCGTGTCTTATAGTTGTGACACCCGCAGGTCAGCTTATGCCACTGAAAGAGGTGGTCCACTTACTGTGATCGAGTAACAGGTGCCTGACATTCAAGAGCTGTGGAAATGACCGTATTGGTGGGTGCACCGATTTCTTGGAAAATAACGGCAACCACCAAAATCAGGTGCGTGTCGGACATAAGCTTTACCGCGTGTTGTTTACGCGACTTGGCGGGACGCGGCTACTGCAGCCTCACTCTCACACTCTCACACTCTCACACTCTCACACTCTCACACTGTCACACTCTCACACTGTCACACTCCCACACTGTCACACTCCCACAATGTCACACTCCCACACTGTCACACTCCCACACTGTCACACTCTCACACTCACATTCCCACACTTGGCGACACATGGGCGAACAGAAACTCACGTCGCTAATCGATAGTTCGACCCTGAACTTGAACGATGTTGGCTCTACACAGCAGGACGATGTCTTTCTGTGCACACAATTACAGTACCTAAGCTCAAGACACGGTCGACAATTAGAAAGGACTCACAGAAATATTCGCACCGCGGTCGAGTATCTGAAAGGCAAGAGAGCAGCACGAAAATTCGTGAAGGCATGTTGGCAGAGGGCATTGGCCATCTCCCCGCAAGCTTTCATGTTCCTGAGTGGATCATTCACCCATCACCACCTTCTGAGGAGAGGACAATACGCCTGTCAACAACTGATCGATCTCCTGAAGCGAAATCAGAGCATGATTGATCAGCACTCAAAGTTATCATCTCTCAGTGCACAGTTTCTGAATGACCTCAAACAGCTAGCTCAGGCTGACATTTCCGAAAATCCAAAATCCTCCCGCAGTTTACGTCGACCAGCACCCCAAACAGAGAAGGCCACAAGGGCTCAAGAAGAGCTGTTGGTGCCATACAAGCCACCTACACATGATGATGAGCCTGCTGTTTCACCATGGCTGGACTACTTCCGCAAGGAGCCAGCATTTCTGATACATCTGGACCTTGCTTTTGACCACTCGAAGCTGGGACTGCTGACCTCGGCCACGGAAGACCTGCATACTTTATGGAGAACACACACAACAGGTCTACCGACGATCGTGCCGGCAGCGGCATGCTGGCGGGGAGAGCCTCCAACATTTGAACAGCTCTGGGTCGAAACGTCGAAGATCAAAGTAAACGGAGTGTTTTGAAGAAACCGAACTGAGTCTCAAGAATGCTAAGAGATAAGATCTTCGGGTGTACGAACAGGGTGAACAGTCAGCCAATGCCGCGCTCGCGTTCTGTCAGATGGCGAGACCGAGTCACGACAGTCCCATTTGCATTATCGGGATGGAGCCTCCCGCATTGGTACGATGCCGAACGTTTGGAGGCTGTGCTCAACTTTATCAGCGAGTGACGACGTACCTGGAACAGCGCATGGTGTTCAATATGACGCCGAAATTCTCGTTCGTCGACTTGCACATAGGTATGGTCATTTGGCATTGATCGACGGGCTATAAGTTGACCAAGGCAATAGACTATGGCAAAGATGGCATCTCTGCCACCTTACACGAATGCGAAAAGGTGTGGGTGATGTATCCTCCGACGCCTCACAACCTGCAGTGGATGGCTGAACACCGGGGCCAGCAAGCCAAAATGGCACAGGGAATGGAAGTTTTGGAAGGGGGGTGTAGTTGCGCACACCACTTTGGCGGAGGCGGTCTACTTACCGGCAGGATGACTGCTGCTGCGCAAAATCGGGGAGCGAAAGCCTGTTCCCTGAGCAACCTTCACGTCCTTGTCACAGTCTCTCTTTATCAAAAACTGACCAGCAAAGTCTGCGAAAGTGATAGAGGTTCTTTTACTGGAACGTCACTTTCTTTCCAATTTAGTTGTATGACGAGTGGGTGATCATAACAAAGCTTCCGCTTTACATTAATATAACAGTCGCGACAAGAATATCGTCTTCTCGGCTAACGCACTCGACAGAGAGACCTCGCACCGGCTCAACTTGACATAGGACACAGGGTGCGGGAGAAGTTCAGAGACAATTTTTAGGCCTTCGTTCTCGTTTGAGGCATATGTTTATTTCATCATAGCTCTGAGAGTCTCTCCTCGGGTTTCTTGGGTTTATTCAACGAAATATTCCAGCGGCAAGGGAGGACACCTGGAAATCTCTCCAAGATCTGGCAAAAATTCATCCAGAAGCTGGTGTACACGTTTCTTTCGGCTCCTGTTACAGTCCAGACATTCACTAATATACCTACAGAGTGCGAGATTCATAGTCGTGCCACAGCCGATAACTCAGCAACAGCGGGCTGGTTTTCGGAACTTCTGTGTATCAAACCTTGGTTTCAGGACTTTGTTCCGCGTGTATGGGCGCATGTGTCTGTCGCAGCGTACACCTTACTGACATGATTTCCAGTTCCGTTAAGTTTCGAACAGCGTACTACATACCGGAATTGACCACGAAACGGTGTGCAACTCGGTGTGTATCAGCACGGCCATCTATCTGCCATGGCTAGTCTCACAGTGCCTTAAAAACGGTGTCCATTTTCAACGCACTATTTTCAAGCATATTTCAGATACCTCCGCACTCGGCACCTATGCCAATGGTAAAAGGTCGACCTTGTGGTCAATTGTACGAGCGTCTAAGCTCGGTGGTGTCGAGGATAAGACCGTCATTCCGGCTCGAGGATAGATTGTGATTGCCCGAAACAACAGCGGTAAAATGTTTAATGTCTCTGGAAGCCTTGATGGTGAAGACGAGGCATGCTATTTCCTGACCAGAGCAGGTGGCGGAACCATCCTGGGTGGCTACTATCAAAAGGGAAACTGGAGATCTCAGGTTGATCCAAACCTTGCCATGCGCATCATGAAAAGAGCGACCGAGCTTTTCCCGCAGCTGACCAGTGGCAAAGACATTGAGCATCTCAATATCATTAACATATTGTGGGTCTGAGACCGGTGAGGGAGAGTTGCACGAGAGTCAAAGAAGGAGCAGAATCGCGAAATGTGGATAGTGCACAACTACGGTCCTGGTGGGGCTGGGTAGCAGAACTCATACGGATGTTCAGGAGCGGCGATCAAATTGATTAAGGAGGTTTTGTATGAGCCAACGGCAAGGTTGTCAGCCGCATATGAGAGCACTTGTAACGCGGCGCTTGACGACGCGATCCATCCACGAGGTGATAGAATACTGCATATTTTGGCTTTAACCACTCTCTCTATACGTAGACTCGAAACCTAGACATCTTAAACACCTGGAATTTTGATCGACACGATTGATACTTTGAAAAAAATTACTGTATGGCCAGTCCGTTCAAGCATATCGATTACGAAACCTAGTTGGCCTGCAGTGACACCGAAGGATTGAAATACCACAACGGGAAATTCATGCGAAGGGTTCAGCACTGCAGAGACGCAATTTAACCACATCCTTTACTCAAAACTGCAGACTAAACTTAGGGGAATATCGCTGAAAAAGGCATTGACGAATCCGTTTCGGATGTCAAGCCTTCTGGAAAGTTTGGACATGCAGCCCAAAGGTGAAGAAATCTGCATGAGCGAGACCGACGATTTCGACTCCGCCAAAATTTTGACTAACACAATTCAAGACCCCTACCCTTCATGGCACTATCCAATCATTTGAGACCAGTTGTAGCATATTTGGGGAAATGTTGACAAGTCGAGCTTCTTATCGCGAAAGGAGAAAGGAAAGTTAGACAGAGGGGTAGTTGCCGTATTAGGCTATAGAGAACCCTTGCAACTGCACATGAGACGGACCTTCCCAGTACTGCCTAGACTCGGACTTTACTGGTTGCGTTCCGATGAACGAAAAAAAAGTACTTAAGGCGGTCATCACATGCATATCGGGGTTCCAAACGATCTGCGGGACGCTTGTCTTGATCTACATCTTCTCTATTCTTCATTCAAAACAAAAGCAGTCTCGTTGAGAATGGCAACCATGGAAAAGATTTTCGCTGGCTATCATACACGACAGACTGTGTTGGAGCAAATACAAGATGCCGGAATAAACCCCTTCGCCAGAGGCATTGCGTGGGTCGAGGGCGAGTATGTGCCACTCCAGGACGCGCGCATTCCTCTCCTTGACCAAGGTTTTATGCATTCTGACTTGACCTACGACGTTCCCTCGGTCTGGGACGGCCGCTACTTCCGCCTTGACGACCATCTCACCCGTTTGGAGAACAGCTGCGTCAAGATGCGCTTACAATTTCCCCTCCTCCGCCAACAGATTCGAAAAATTCTGATCGATATGGTGGCGCAATCTGGCATCCGAGATGCCTTCGTCGAAATCATTGTCACACGTGGTCTTAAGGGCGTACGCGGCTCCTACAAGAGGGAGAAGTTGCGGAACAACCTCTACATGTTCGTTCAGCCTTATGTGTGGGTTATGGAGCCCGAGATTCAGCCCGAGGGTGGAAGAGCCGTCGTTGCTCGAACTGTTCGCCGCATACCTCCTGGCTCTATTGATCCCACCATTAAAAACCTACAGTGGGGTGATCTAACACGTGGTCTCTTCGAAGCCCTCGACCGTGACGCTATATACCCGTTCCTCACTGATGGCGACTCCAACCTCACCGAGGGTTCCGGGTTTAATGTCGTCCTCGTCAAAGACGGCACGCTATACACCCCCGACCGCGGCGTCCTCCAGGGTATATCTCGCAAATCTGTATTTGACGTTGCAGAAATGCTTAATGTTCCTGTGAAATGCGAGTGCATTCCAATTGAGATGGCCTATCAAGCCGACGAAATCTTCATGTGTACTACTGCGGGTGGTATCATGCCGATCTCTTTCCTTGACGGTCAACCGGTGAAAGATGGCAAAGTCGGCCCCATCACTAAGAAAATCTGGGATGGTTACTGGGGCATTCATTATGATGATCGATTTAGTTTTGAGATACAGTACCCCGACAGTCCAAAGACATTAGAGAACAGCGATGCGCAACGCTCTACCAAGGCTAAGCTATAAGTGAGGGCTCGTGCGATACACGAAAAATTTCACTTTTTGAAAGGGTTATCGAAATTGCTCTTCGGAATTTGTGTTTGTGGACACATGGGCCAGGATCAAGGCTCCGAGAGGTCTTGTGGCGACTTGTCTTCTTTTAACAAATATAGTTACGTAGTTCTATTCTTCAAGAGATATGTTTTTCAAACGTCTCCCGATTAGGCTTAATCATCTTTTTGGGACCGATGGTGCTCTCGGGGTGGTATTAATGCGTTCTAATACAACCTCAGGCCACCAGTTTCGCGGGAAGAATCACGGAAACAGGATACTTTTGCCGCAAACCGTGAAACCTGGTGAGGAAATGCATAGATCCAAGTCTTATTCTCATATCTGGGCTATTACTCCATGTATGGCTCGCACGGTGATCGAACGATTATTCCATGACAAGTTAGCGTGTTTGTTGAAACTATAGCAGTGGCGTCGGCCGACCTACGGGAAGACCAAGAGCCGATTGACCTGCGTGGCATGACTGGATCATCTGGATCAGCCCAGCCTTGTTGATCCAGGTGAGTCTCGAGGATCAGTAGCGATCAGTCTAGACCAGCTGGTCCAGATGAACCAGGCTGATCGATCCTATCTCCACCAGAGGAGTAGCATTCCCCTTTTCCTGTTCCTGTCTGCTGTACGTCTCATAGTTCTAGCCACACTTGTCCCACCTGCCAATGAGTCCTGAGGTCTGACGCTCTCGTCGAGCACGAGTCTTAACAAGTAGTATCTTATAATCTAGAACGAATACCTCGATTATGGAGCTTCACACGAATTGGAAAGGCTTTGACCTTAAAGAGCAAGCAACCCTAGAGTGAAGTATGGGAGCAATTAGCATCTCAAAGGGAGCTTGGCCCAATTAGTGAACTAATGTCATATCTATTTTCTCGAGCGACGTTCACAATTCTCTTGTCCATCATCTTGATCGACGACTAGCTCGCAAAAATCCATCCCACATTTCCACCTATCGCATACTCCCTTTCAGAAGGCTCTAGTCATTTTTGCGTACGGATTGTTCTCGTCCTTCTCTTCATCCTCTGCGGATGGAATGGTCTTCTTTACCCTACAAGGCGAACCCACTGCCACAGAGAATGGGGGAATATCTTTTGTGACTACCGAGCCCGCGCCAATCGTCGAACCCTGACCAATAGTCACTCCCGGTAGGATGATCACGTTCCCACCGATCCAACAATCGTCCCCAATCCGTACGGGGTGACCAAATTCGACAAACTTGCGTCGCGAAAGAATGCTGACCTCGTGGCCGGCAGTGTAGATGCTAACTTTAGGTCCCATCTGTACTCTGTCGCCGATGATTACCAGACTGGTGTCGAGGATTGTAAGGCTATACCATAGTCAGCTGCTTCCCCTTCTTATTAATGTCATAATACATGCTCACTCGAAGTTTATGAAACATTCCTTTCCAATGACAATATTGCAGCCGTAATCAGGTGTGAATGGTGGTTCGATGAAAGTGCCCTCGCCAACCTGACCGACTATCTCTCGCAAAAGAGCAAGACGAGCTTCAAAGATCTTGTCCGAGTTAATCGTTCGCACCGAAAAGTTGTTGTAGTCTTGGACAACACCGCGACAACGGACACGGGCGGCGACAAGTTCTGGTTGATTTGGGTTATACCTTGAAACATGTGAGCATCTGCCACATGTGGATACCACAATACTCCGCGGCGGATCTATCTTGGCTTACAGCATCCCAGAGATCATCCTTTCATACTCCTCGCCGTCGGGAGCGTGGTTTACATTCTTGGAGATTTTGATGAGCTCGTCGCTCTTCTCTGTGGTAGCCATTTTGTCTAAGGTTGTATCGAAATCGATCCTTTCAGAGGCGTGTATAGATGTTCGAGAAGAATAAGGATGCTTTCGGCTCCACCGTGCTTGATGTATCCGTGCAAAACAATGAAGAGAAGCGGAAAATTAATGGGAGATTCAAATGGTGAAGGCGAACCGACACAAGGAGCAACCCCGTCAATTTCAAGCTGACCAAAACAGAACGCTGGCTTTTGACCTGGTAAGAAAATCTGGGCAGCTTTCCTAACTAGGATAAATCCTTCCCGCCGGCCCGCTTGCTGTTCTGAAAGTTTCCGGTTCCTTTTCAAGTCTTTGCCGTACCAGGGACCGTACTCCTCTATTACGTACTGCAGGCTGAATCGCACTCTTCAAGCGTCGAAAAGAGATAATTTTATAAGGTCGGCTATTCTTTCGTCGAACACGATCATGACACCTTCGGGATTTACACGGTCGGCTTGCGTTTTCCTCAAAAGTAGAACTTCCCCCTCCCCCTCACAGCCCAAAGCGTGCTGAATTAGGAAGATCGTCGCATCATTAGATCTACCCAATGAAGCGATAAAGACAGTCTCAGTATTGTCAACAGCCAGTGCAAACGTTAACCGAGCAGAGCATTCTTTGTTGAAAGAGTGACCACCACGCCCACCCGAATTGTCGACATCAAGTTCTTTTGCGTTGCTTAGCGGCCGGCTCCGTTTGTCTAGTCATCAGTCAGTGATAGAAACCATGATTTCTGCCGACCTTGCTGCAAACCTACGCCAACAAATTGATGTACACACGGGCAGCTCTCCGCCAAGCATTGCCGGCTGCCTCTACGCGATAGTGAATCGGAACGGGCAGTTGGTGTTCAGTCATGCTTCTGGCACTCGAGGACTAGGCAGTGCGGAGCCGATGACATTCGACACTATTTTTTGGATGGCATCGTTTACAAAGCTGATCACAGGCATCGCATGCATGCAATGCGTCGAGAGAGGACTGTTAGCGCTGGACAGCACCGACCTGGTTGAGCAGTTGGCACCGGAATTGAAGGACGTGCAAGTAATACAGCGGAGTGGTAGCGGAGATCTTAAACTGGTTCCGAAACAGAGAAAGATCACTTTGCGTATGTTACTCAATCACACAGGTACGATTTGGATCCATTCTGGAACTACGCCTCGTACTAATTCGGATTATAGCCGGCTTCGGGTATGTTTTCGAAGACGTCAATTTACGTGATTGGGCAAGGCCGGTAGGGCTCAGCGATTTTACAGACAAAGAACTTGATATTCTTCTACGCCCATTGTGCAATCAACCGGACACAACATTTCAATATGGTACCAATATTGACTGGGCGGGTATGTTGGTAGCTCGTGCCTCAGATATGTCGTTGGAAGCTTATTTCCAGAAAAATATATTTGAGCCACTGAGCATTGACGGCATTACGCTGGCTCCAACGGAGAGAATGATATCGCAATTGGCATACATGCATCAGCGAGATCCGGACGGATCTCTAAGCCTGACAGATCACTTGTTTCGTGATCCACTACTGAGTTTCGACGTTCCAGATAGCAAGAATAGGTTCTACAGTGGAGGCGCAGGTTGTTTTGGAAAACCAATCCAATATACCAGTCAGTGCGTCCCTCTCTACAAGCTGCGAAAAGGGTAGCTGATGAAAAGCAGAGATCATTGCTGTACTGCTGAATGATGGCCTATGCCCAGAGACAGGTGCAAGAGTCCTTCAGCCGGAGACTATAAAAGGTAAGTGAGCGGTCACTAATTCTCAGATGTCAAATTGACCTGTGGGCAGAAATGTTCACTGATCAAATCTCGGGAAAACCAATATACATCAACAAACCGGTCCCAACTGCGAATCCTCTTTTAGCCAATCCTACACCGATATTTCCTGGCCCTCTAGAAGCCACCTCCGGCTGGGGATTGACTTTTGCGTTGAGCCATGATCGAGCTCCATCAGGCAGACCTGTTGGAACTGGTTCGTGGGAAGGACTCGCAAATCTTTTCTGGTTTGCAGACAGGGAACACGGCCTTGGAGGGATTATCGCGTCCCAGGTTTTGCCATATGGCGGTCAGTGTGGCACAAACTATCAATCGAGGTGAAGTAATTGGCTAATTGATTCTGTTCAGACAAGACAATTCTCAAGCTTTCGGAGGAGCTGGAGACCCAGATCTATGCCTCAATCGACTCACATTGAAGGGTGCATCATTGGTGGGAGGTGTATGGCCGGAAGTAGTCAACGCATCTTATCCTTCCACTTGATACGATTTTCAAATTCAAGGTTGTTCTCTGTTTAAACGTAGTGCCAACCATGTGAACCACCTCCTGATTATGCTTAGAGTAGACTACGAGTTTTAGCAGACTGAAATGATCTTCATGAATGTACTGCTTTGTCAGCCTATGAGATGCCACTTGACTTTAATTGTGGCCCGATGTTTTGGCAATCCGTCTCGAACACTTCCCCAAACAGGAAAATTTCGTACCTCGGACCCGACTAGCCTATTTATTCTCCGTCTTATATAAAGTCTGCGGATTTTCCTCCAGCCGGTGTTTGATTTCCAAAATCCATTCCAGCATCGAACTCCATCTGTCGAGAATATGGCTGACGACAAACCTCTTGTGGATCTAATAGGCGTATTGCAAGCAGCCACAGTCGACAAATATAGTAGTTTCTTTAACATCCTACATTCGACATATCAATCAGCTCTGCAAGGGTTAAATATTAAGGTGGATGTTATGGTGTCAAAGTCATTAGAGGACTCGACCAAACATAAAGCAAGACCCTTGTTAATAAGGATACACGGAGGCTATTTGGTAGGCCTAGAGTTTCTTCTCAATCATTCGTACTAATGGTAGCCAGGTCACAGGCTCAAGTCTCTACCCACCATGGTTCACAAACTGGATTTTAGACTATGCGAGACATTCTGGAGCCGTTCTTGTGTCGCCAAACTACCGGCTTATGCCCGAATCTACCGGCTCGGACATCTTGGAAGATATGGACGCTTTCTGGTGTTGGCTCCGTCATGGTGGTGTAGACGATATTCTGGAGCAGGGTGGCTACCAATATCTCCGTATAGATTTGGACAGAACCTTGCTTGTTGGTGAGAGCGCTGGTAAGCCATGCCCTGTCCTCCATGCTATATGTTATATGCAGATATTGACGAGCCCGCTCAGGTGGCTACCTCGCTATGCAATTGGCACTCAGCTACCACGGACAAGTTCGTGGCCTAATTGCTGCCTATCCCATGCTCGACATCATCGACAGACACTATACGGAACCGTATTCCAAACCCATCATAAAAGTGGCAAACCGTCCCATCGAAGTGCTCGAATGTCACCTTGAAACACTTAGGGCCGCACGTGCCGAAGGCAGGAATCCCGTAGTTACCGAAGCCGACCCGCCTGATCGAATGGAACTTTCTTTCTGCATTGTACAGAACGGTCGGTATCTCGACTTTTTCGGTACTGGACCTCGAGGGCTTTTTCCAATGGATCGTATCACAGATAGTCAAGATGCGGATGCCGCCAGCGAAGGTGCGGAGTTACCGCCAATGTTTATATTTCATGGTGAGCAGGACTCGGCAGTACCGGCAGAGGGGTCGCAACGCTTCGTGCAGGCACTGAGAAAGAACAGACCAAGGGCGAGAGTCCATTTGGAGATCCAACCGGGAGATCATGGATTTGATTTCTCTGCTACTTTGCAGACGGATTGGTTGAAGCAGGGTCTCAAGGTGGTTGGGCCAGCCTGGCTTGGGAGCGAATATGGAGAGTGAATGCAAGTGCAGAGTAGATGCTCATGGCAAATGTAGGTCGATTTGCTTATTCGCTGGGAAGCAGTATTAACTGTGCTCTCTCGATTTTAGATACATTTTGTGGTTGCTGACTCGACCAGGGCAGCCTGAGCAATATGAAAATTTCGCCGTGAGTCTACCTGTTCATCATATGATTTTTCTGGGATTATCTGTCCACAATAGGTTGCGGCTCTAACAACTGACTAACAACTGACTTAGTCATCGCTGAAACGTGGAGTGACAACGTATGCATTGGTAAGGCTTTTTTTGGTCCCAGTCTTGCGTCGTGCTACAACACTATGCTCTATTTACAGCATCTGGATCGCTCAGTGAAATATTGCTGCCTCGCAATTGATCTCTGCTCTGGCCTCGGGTACGTTGATGCTCTTGACAATGACGTTCGTCCACGTAGGTGCATGACCTGGCCACCTGCTTCTAAACACCGCCTGCATCGTTCCCTCGTACTCTGCACTAGTGAGATAAGCCGTGAACCGGTAGGCGTTAAATAATCCATCTTTCGCGCCTGCGTGTTTCAGCGCGGTATCGAGGCAGTCGAAGATAGCATTGAACTCGGTCTCAACAGTTGTAGTAATGATGGAACCATCATCCAGTGAGAGGCCAATGTGCCCGGTTGTAACGATGAGGAAGGTGCTGGGGGAGATAGGAATGCGGGCAGTGGTGCTGTAAGGAGCTGGTCGTAGAAGGTCGCCAACGGGTCCAGGAAGGTATTGGTAGTCAATTGTTTCGGACTGAGAGGAGGCCATCATGGGAAAGGGAGATACTGCTTAGCAAAAGGATTGATCCGGTTCCGATTTGGAGAAACTCCCGATGGACCTCCGGTGACCGGATATAAAAGGATTGAGGTTCAGGTTGATGTTGGCAGGGCATTGGACGTTATAAACCTCCTTTGCATGCCTATTTCAACTCGCCATGCGATTCTATTACCAGGTTTGGAAAGTTGTCCAATGACGAAATACTCCATTCCTAATCGGTCTATTCGCCAAAAACTTCCCAAATAACGTAGTCCACAAGCGGGCTGTCCACCCAAGCGGGCTGGCCACTCCAATCCGCCCAGGTCATCTCCCGTCTTCGCAACTTCACCACAACGTCAATTCTTGATGGATTTAGTCCAAACCGAAAATCAGATCATCTTAGCGATCCAAGCCATCAAAAACACACCGAAACTCAGCATCCGACGCGCTGCAACTATCTACAAAGTCCCTCGATCAACATTGGCCACACGTATTCGCGGGATTCAAGCACGACGCGACACCAAGCCGAATTGTCAAAATCTAACAGTCTTAGAAGAAAATGCAGATTTTCAGAGGATTATCGAACTCAATTCTCAAGCGTCTCTTCCCCGGCTGAGTGCTGTGGAGGATATGGCGAATCGACTGCTGCCCGACCGCGACGCGCCACGCATCGGCAAGAACTGGGCTTCTAACCTCGTGAAGCGCCAACCACGGCTGAAAACAGTATTTAGCCGTAGGTACGATTATTCTCCGGCTCCGTGCCACGACCCAGAGCTAATTCAAGGCTGGTTCAACCTTGTGCGTAATACAATCTTGAAGTATGGGATCGCCGATGCAGATATCTACAACTTCGACAAGACCGGCCTCGCCATGAGTCAGATCACGCCATCTATGGTTGTTCCCAACGTCGAAAGGAGAGACAAGCCGAAACTGGCCCAACCTGGCAATCGGGAATGGGCTACAGTGACCCAAGGAGTCAATTCGCAAGGCTGGACGGTCCAGCCCTTATCATTGTCAAGGGCAAGTGCCACCTCTCATCTTGGTACGAAAATAGCACCATGCCAAAAGATTGGAGAATTGCCGTCAGCGACAACGGTTGGACGACCAATGAACTGAATGCCGAATGACTTCAGCACTTGGATAAGTATACAGAAAGCCGGAAAACGGGCGTGCTGCCTTCTCATCTTGGATGGCCACGAGAGCCACCATTCGGATGCTTTCGAGCAATACTGGAAAAACCATAACATTATCACACTCTGCATGCCGGCTCATTTGTCCCACATCCTCCATCCACTGGATGTGGCATGTTTTGCGCCGTTGAAGAAGGCCTACGATGCGCCAATTGAAGGTCTCATCCGAGCCCGAATCTCGCATATAACGAAGGACGACTTTCTCCCGGCATTTTTGAGGCTTTTGAAAGGAGTATGACTGAGCACAATGTTCAGGCAAGCTTCCATAAAGCAGGACTTACTCCTCTCAACCCAAAAGTGGTGATTTCGAGGCTGGATGTGTTCTTGACCCTCTTCGCGCGAGGCCTTGCCTTGGCCTTCTCGGACACCAAACAACCCAACTGAGGCTACTTCACAATCCGAATTTCTCAGCAGTCGAATTGTCAGGCACCAGATTAGTTCTCCAACGTCAATCTATAATAGGATTGACCAAATTGCGAAAGGGGCAAGCAGGATCATGTATCAGATGGCACTCCTGTAAGCGGAGGTTCCCGAACTACGGGAGGTAAATGCCACTATTAGCAAACGTCGGAATGCCAAAAGAACACGTCTCCATTGTGGGGGATCACCTAGGAAACAAGATGTAGAAGAGCTACAAGTCCTAGAAAATGTTCCGCAGTAGGTACAGCAAGAATCAAGTGAGATTGGCGACGGCGCGGATCGTGGCCTGACGCCAAAACGGTACTGTACACTGTGTGGGAACACTGGGCATAATGCGCGCACTTACCAAAGCGCGATGTAGTAGCCTCAGCAAGTATGTTTGGGGAGATCGTAGCTGATTGATGTCTTCGTGGTTGAGAAAATAGACGGGGAAGTGACCTCGGCGGATTGGAGTGGCCAGCCCGCTTGGGTGGCCAGCTCCCTTGTGGACTACGTTACATGGAGTAACATTTATTGATTGCATAAGAATACTAATCTGATATTTTCACAATGTTGGAAATGGACATTGATTTGACTACTTCAATCCATGTCGCTCTTTACCCCAAACTTGTGGGCGCTTCTAGTTCGTGAGAAGTCCACCATTGGCGCAAACGGTCGACCCAGTTATCCACTTAGCATCATCCGAGCAGAGAAAGGCAACAATAGGGGCGATATCAGTTACCTCCCCGACTCGGGGGGCGGCGGGGGTACCTTCAATCATGGGTTTCATGTCCTCCAAAAACTTTGGGTCTGAGTTGTACCACTGGTCTAAGAAAGATACTTCACGTCAGCAAATGCGTCAGCCTACAGGACTCGAGACTGCGACTACTCACCAGTAGCGATAGGGCCAGGATTAACGTTGTTTATGGTGATGCCATACACATGGCCAAGCTCTTTGGCCCAAGTACGACAGAGAGCTTCATTCGCGGCTTTGGTGGCAGCGTAAACAGTTTGACCACCGACTCCAAGACGAGCGCCAGCAGAGGAGATGAATACAACACGGCCACCTTTGGGCATGTGTGGTAGGACAGCCTTTGTCAAAAAGATGGGGCCACGGACATTACAGTCGAAATGCTGATTGTAGAATTCGACAGTCGTGTCAACGAGGTCGGCTTCGAGACCCTGCGCAGCACTGTATGCAAGCGTGAATATATGTGATTGGGGTGGGATCTTCTTTTTGAGACTCACTTGTGAATCAAGATGTCAATCTTGCCATTCTCGCTAATCTTTTGGGCCGCTCCGACCAGGCGTGGTATCTCATCAATGTTGCTAACGCTGGCACGGCAAAGCGTTGCCTTCACACCAATCTTCTCAATTTTCTTGACTACCTCCTCTGCACGGGTCTTGCTGTTCTCAGAAACATAATTGACGACGATATTGGCGCCTCGCTTTGCAAGTTGGGTAGCAATTTCTGTCCCGAGACCCCTGATCCACGAGAAATTAATCAGAGATCTGTGTTCTTGCAAACATAAAGCCATAAAAGGAGTGGGCTAACCTAGAGGAACCGGTAACGATGGCAGTCTTGCCCTCGAGGGACACACCGGAGAAGTCGGTTCCTGACATTTTTTTATCAGAAATTGCGAGAGATGCTTTCTTGTCAATGTGCAACTGCAAAAGGGAGAACTTGAAAGGACAAGTGTAACAACACGGTTGATGCGCCGGATCATGCCATTTAATACGCGAGAACGGCAACATACGAAAAAATACCGCCACAAACCTCCTGCTTAGCCCACGCGTTTGGGCGGCCGTTCCAGATGAAGCATTAAACAGAAACCTTCAGAGGGCTGCGTAAGGCCCCTCCTTCCCAATTAGGGCAATTTCTATAAGCCTCATCCGGCATATTGCCAGGGCCCAGGATGCAAACAGGCGATTAGAATAATTTCCCCTCGGCATGAAGCAAGCTTATTGGAGTAGCAGCGACGAATTTTTCCCTTCTATGTCAGTGTACCTCGTACGAAATGCGGGTACCACCTGCAGGTTTCGCCGCCAAACTTGCATTTAGCCTTATCCTGGAAAAAACTGTGTGGGGCAAAGTTCACGTCGTGCAAGAACGTCCTTTCTGTTCTTGGTTAGTAGCGCGCGACACAGGAGTTTCCGATGTTTTAGCGAGGGTTGCTGATGCTTTATCAGTCCAGCTTCCATAACGATTCAGTGATACCATCTTCCCAGCACCTACATCATCGTAATTATCAATTCTAGCTGCTACAAGTCTTGTATGACTGCAAAGATGCTGAATACCACCAGCGACGGGTATTCCTGGACCCAAGCCAGCGGAACCAAAAAAGGCAACCTTCGTTGCCGAGGTGTTGTTTCCCCCGTAAAGCGAGGCTCATCCCAGACAAAAACATACGATGCCATTGTAATTGGCGCTGGCTATGCTGGCCTCGCCGCCGCACGTGATCTTGTTACATCTGGCCGATCAGTCTTATTGGTCGAGGCGCGCGACCGCGTCGGTGGTCGTACCTACACAGTAGAAGACGATGGTACGATCCCAAATCTCTCTGTCCCTCAAACCCCCGCGCGAAAAACGCTAAGTGGAGCCAGACATCCTGTACGAGATGGGTGGCACCTGGGTTACTCATCACATGGGATATCTCCTGAAGGAGATGATGAGATATAACATGGACCGGGACTTGATGCTCACGCACGAATCAGGTCATGAGAATGACTACTACACGATCAACGTTCCAGGTGCGAAACCACGAAAATTGAGTCACGAAGAAGCCGGCGCAATGACGGCACGAGCATGGGACATTTTTGTCAACATTGATGGTGTTGGCGGTCGCAAGGTCTGCCCACTGCCACATGCCGGGCTCGACAATATGATGGTCAAACGAGAGGATGTGGAAGAACTCGATAAAATGTCTTGCGCGGATCGTCTTGAACAAATCAAGCACCTCCTTACTGCTGAAGAGTATGGTATCCTTTCCGGTATTCTCGTGCACATCTCGGGTGGTTTTTTGCATAACTCCAGCTATTGGGATATGATCCGCTCGCACGCCCTCCTTGTCTATGCTTCATCCAACTTTGGCGATATCTGGACCACTTACAAATTACGCGAAGGCCAGTCTACACTCGCATACCGCATGTTCCAAGAAGCAGTCGCATTTGGACTGGAATATTACTTTCAGACTGCTGTGACTTCTATGTCCGACAAAACGACAACAGAGGGGCTGGTCGAGGTCACCACACAAAAAGATGAAACCTTCTTGGCTCATAAGGTTGTCAGCACTATTCCCCTTAATGTCCTCAAGACTATTCACTTTGATCCGCCATTGTCTCATAAGCGTCAGGAAGCAATAGACATTGGCCATGTCAACTTCATGCAAAAGATACATGCCGTGGTTGAGGGCCCTGGTTTGGCGTCGTGGAATGGTATGCGCACTCCAGCTCCACTTTTGTTCGGCTATGGCGACGGTGTGACCAAGAATAACGATGCCCATCTCGTCGGATTTGGGGCGGACGAACGCGATCGGTTTGTGCCAGAACGACACCCAGAACAGGTTATCAAGGCTTTCAATGATTTGCATCCTATGAACGTCAAAAAGACGGTAGGCGATAGATGCCCTATGTTCACTGTGCCAAGATTGACAATCTATCAGGTATTCCATAATTGGTGCACAGACCCATACTCCCTCGGTGGCCCATCATGGTGGCCACCTTCCTACATGAGCAAGTATCAAGACGAATTGCAAAGCCGACATGGAAACATCTTTTTTGCTTCCGCTGACTGGGCTCATGGCTGGCGCGCAGCCATCGATGGAGCTCTCGAACAAGGGTCGCAGAACGCCATTACTATTTTGAGGGAGATCAACCTGCAGCAGGGCAGACGTCAGAATTCTCAGCCTAAAATCTGAAAAGAAGGAAGCGTCAGCTAGATGCTTTGTACGGAAGTGGCACAGTCTTGCAACTGTAAATGTTGAGTTCGAATGACTAGTGAACACAGATTTGGAGTAGTATCAATCTTTATGGTACCAAATTCTCACAATATACCCAGGAGAGCTCTGGATTTCTGAATAAAATTTCGTGTGGTGAACATAATGGGAAAGTCAATCTCCTCCTGCGATCGTGAACCAGTTAGCAAGAGCATCGAATCACTCAAAGAGACTCACGTTACCGATTTAAGCTGAATACATTTTTCTCCAAGAGGACTTGAAGCCTGGGGGAAGTTCCCTTGCAGAAGACACCAAGGACTCTTCGCACGCCAATATCATTAATTTCATCAAGAAATCTCTGAATTTGGGAACAGAAATACTACTTCCCCAAGAGTCTCCATTCATGAAAACACCGCAAGCTCATTCGCCTGCTCTTAAGAGATTAATGACCACCGATGTACCTGACTCCAATCTAAAGTTTACAATTCCCATGTATATTCAGTGCTTAACTGCCACATCTTGAAAATTGAAAATGGCCCTAAATCTGGCGTATTTGAGGGGTGTCTTCAGAGTCCATTTCCATCCCCAGCCCTCCAGGCTCGCTCCTCTGAGGGCTGGAGTGTTTGCAAGCGTCGAAACATTCTCCAGCAACTGCATCGGTCAGCTCTGCCACCTGGAACCATTGGTACATGACCCGTTCAAAACTGTGCAACCCGACAGTGACAAGAAACTTCATCCACATTATAATGTGAGAGCAACTTCGGCGCACCCATGCAAGATAAATTCGCCCTCCAGTAAAAACGTGCAGGCGCGTACACAGTAAATTGTGCGAATTTTGCCCGTCTGAAACTCTAACAAGGAAACGATGTTCCAGCGGGGGTTGCGATCCTTGCATACCAGAAATAGCGTCGTCGATGTCCAGCCGAGATCCGGAGAAATACCGCACGTAAATAAAGGTAATTAATGAATGCGTCATCAATATAGGTATGCATCCTTGGAAAAAGGTGTAGTGAGACTTTGCACGGCGCATTCGAGCCTGGTCTGGCGCAGACAGTGGCCACTTTCCCAACTAGGAGAATCGAACCTGCTTTAAATTTTTCTGTCCCAGGTTAAGGGACGTCACTCAAACATTTTTACTTTTTGTCATTGGTCATACCCAAAACAACTAATCAATGGTTGCCACGACCTGCAGGAGACTGCCGCAGGCCTGCGAGTTACGCCACTACCGCAACTGCCCCGATCTCCCCTTCAACCTCGCTTGTTTATGCCATGGGCCATATAGGCTTACTAAACCAGAGCACATGTGCCATCGTTGACAAAACAATCGAAGACGAATTTCATGCCGTGTTTAACTGCCAGGAGGCTTCTTTGAAGGACGCTGGAGCTTCTGATGGCTGCAGCCAGCACACAAGTTCGTTAGCTATATCACCGAGGCTGGATTTGAGCCTATCATGCAACAAGTTTTCAAGAAAAGGTGGCCCAGCCATTCTTCAACCTGGACTACAATGATTGTGCCGTCGCTGAATGTTCCCGATGTGCACGCTGAAATCGCTGAAGCCGCAATCACACACATGACAATGGACCTGGAGTGGTGTCCTGCTCTACACGGATTGGCCTTGAGCCTCATCAACAACCTTCCTTAAGCTTGTGGTGTCTTAGCCCGTTCTCGAGCTGCGAGAGACACACCCTTAACCAAGGTGGGTTTTCTGGGATTTTGAGAGCAGAATGTTGGGCGGCGAACGATAAGCGTTATTACAAAAGAACCTAGCAAGAGAGCCGAATATAGGTGAGCTTAACAAAAATTTATGCCTAGTCACCCGTCGCTCTATGATATCTTCTACAGATCTCGACACCCAGTTCCATTGATACCTCCAATTGGCTATAGATCACATCAACTCAAGCTCAGTAGTGATCCGCCAACACGATCCGTTTTCATGATGGTTCCGCCCCTATTTCCACAATATGCTCTAGCCGGGTTCAATGAGAGATACCTTTCTCACGAGCAGACTCCAAATAGCGCCAGTATGTGGTTGCGCTCCGGCGTCGCAACTCTCGCCCCCATTTCATGACTGGAAATATTGTCAAGTTGTGTGCTAAGCCGATAAAAGCTGCTAGGAGGAAAGCATTCTGATAACCCAGATTGACGACCCAGGGGGTGACGCTAGACTCAGTCAGCTACTTGAGGCGTCAAAATTGGGAAGGGTAAATCTTACGCATAACCGATGCCAAAAGACATAGTATTTCGAATAATGATGACCGTCACAAGAGCCTCACCGCTCAAGTCACGGTAAGCGTCGATCAGGTAGGCGATTGAAGCTTGAGAGCCGGAAGTGGTGGTAAAAGAAATCGTTCCCATCGCGAAGACAAGTCCAAACCAGTTAATATCATGTTCTGCCCCAACACCCCACAGAATATTACCAAAGGGGATTAAGACAAGCAATAGGACGAATAGCCAAAGCCGGAATTCCGCTTCGAAATAACCACCATTGCGGCGTGCGAGTTTGACAATCAGCCAATCTCCAAAAAGTCCGGTATAGAGAGATCTTCATACGAATTAGCCTTGATTTTCTAATAGAGCTAAGAATTCGTGCTTACCCAAGCGTGGTGCCAACTATGGGTGCGATAAAGGTGAGTCCGACTTGCCATGTTGCAAAATTATATGGGTTTCTGGAGAGAACCAGTGATTCTGTAGCATTCAGGACAGATAACCAAATGATATTGCACCCGTATAGGAAACCCGCATACGCCACTATAGGTAAAAAGGTAAGCTGTAATGGGCGGAGCATCAGGAGACCGAGGTGGCATTTTCGACGGAAGACACCTGGTTGAAAAGGTCGTAATTTCGCCAGGTAGGATTTCGTAACTAGTTCAACATCACCATGAGCTTGCTCTGTACCACTGCTCTCAAGTGCAGCAGATTTGTTGTCTCCGTGCTGGTGAACGCGACTTTCGAGGTCTGCGGTCTGAGGTCCGGCTTCATCAGTGCTCGCAGTAAGCGTGCCGCCTATAGCTGCTGACTCTTCCATGCCCGTGACTGATGGCCGATCAAAATTGGTCTCTTCCAGGCAGAAGAACAGGATGACAAATGCGCCTGCACTGAATATCGCGCACCAATACTGCTCTACAGTCAGTTTTGGATTCAGTGAACATCAGAGCCGGCAGAGCATACAAAAACCCATCGCCACCCTTGACCACTGGTGATGAACGCCATAATAAGTGGTGCAATGCCGTTGCTGTACCCAAGTGCCAACGCATATACAGCGAGGTATCTGCCACGTTCGTGTGTAAAAAACTGTGGATTGCGCATCAGGAAATCTAGTTATCAATTGTGAAGCGCTGGCTAGGATACGCACCACGTCCGAGACAGAGATCTCGCCCAAAGATTCGATAGGAGAACCAAAAACGCCCTGCAAAAGCTTCGCCACAATCCATTGGCCATTGCTTCTGATATATGGCTGCCAGACCATGATAGCCTGGCCATTATCCTCAGTGTTAAATACCTCCAAAAGCGAGTTATAGATGCTTACCATGGTACCCAAGAGAGATATCAGGTAGACTGGACGTTTTCCATATTGGAGGGCGATTGCTTGCCACAATAAGCATCCCCAGCCAAAAGCTAGGAACTTGTTCCAGTCAGTATGTAACTAGGCCAAGAGCTTACAACATACCATGTAGCCAGTTCCAGCGTTCAGATCTGCTATCGAAATCCCAGTTGCTTCCGAGAGTGGATCCAATGTCGAGTATAGAGCAGAAGAACAAATGCCTGTGACAAGCACGTACCTAATATAACGGTCAGTATCAGCTCTTAGTCGAAACGACAGAATGCAGCTGTGGTGTGATGATGATTGCAGGAGGAAACTCACGTAGACATACAAAACACTGACAGGAGTTTTCTTCGACTTGGCCAGTTCAATGGATCGTCAGGGTGCGTTGATGGTTGAGGTACCAACACAATATCGTTTTCGGCACCCTTCGCGTGTTTCGTCTGCATCACGCCTTGCATATCCACCAAATGCACCGTCCCGGGAACGAAACCATTAGCTCCATGGGCTTCCGGTGTGGTTGTATTCATGGTATAAAATGTGTGGTAAAGTGAACTATAGCTTCCTATAACTTTTCTGGTCGTATATCGTGGAATTTTAGGTCTAGGCTCATTTATATTGCATTCGCTTTATGCGTCGTTTGGGGAAAGTGCTCGAAAAGATCTTGAGCGATGCGTGTGTTCCATGAAAGGCAAAAAAAGAATACCTTATGTAGTATTATTGCTCCTGTCACAGTACTAACTCGTCAGCTGTCTGCGAATTCAATGCCAGCTTGTCTTGTAACTCTTTGCGCGAAATATGTCTGCTGCAAGGTACAGTACCCATTTGAAGCTGGACACTATGTAGATTACGTCATGCACTGGATCTTGCCTATATAGGCAAGCGACTCAAACTTCGATTTTGGCCAGGCCGGCACCAACGTTCTTGATTAACTCACCAAAGCTGGTGTGTCCACTTGCCAAACGGGGGAATAAATAAATCAACGGCTTTTGATACTACATATAAGATTCGCGTCCTTCTTCTTTTGGTCCGAGTAGAGTAGGTATAAGTGCTACAAGATAACGTCCCGAATTGGCTTCTTTGATCGTAACGCTTTTGAGTATTTACCATTTCAAAGATGGCTTCGATGGATAGGAACCTTTTTGTGAGACCCCCACTACAGATCTCGGAGGACGAGATCGTTGGCTACGTAGATCCATGGATTGTGTCTCCCGGCGACACAGCAGATGTCAAGGTATGTATGATAATTTCCTGATCATAGTGTGCCTGTTCCAGCCCTGAATGTATGCATAGGTTTCATCCACAAAGAAAAAGCTGCGATATCAACTTGTTCGACTAATCCAAGGTCTGACATTCCCTGGCTCGCCTCCGGTTCGACGAGAAGTCATTGACTGCAACGTCAAAGGCAATTGCGTGGGAAGATTCCAGGCCGCTCACCCCGGATCTTATGCGGAGGTCAGTGGATGGAACAGGCAACACTTGCTACAGACTGCATTGGGAGTGCACATTTTTCTCTATGCTCAACCATGGATGCTGAGTGCCCAATATGGTCAAGCTCTAATGTCGACGTTAGATGTGGATACCAAGTCTGGCGTTGCTATTCTGATAGACCAGAGCGCCGACATTCAAATCTGGGTCGGAACTGGCAAGGCAGTCGAGGTTGTCACACTCACGTCTCCATCATTGCGAGAGCGAAGATGGTTCCAGATCGATATCAAGATTGAGAAGTGCGAAGTCAACGTGAGCGTCGTACACCTACCTTTCGAGCTGGAATCTACTCCTACACCCCAGCACCTACGAAAAAACCTACGCAGTGAAGCTAATCTATATTCCAATACGTCTCTCCTTTTCGCTGCCACTTATGCTGGGAGTCCAACGAGCAGATCTGATAGACCTACTCATTTCTACAATGGGCGTATTGACTCCCCTAGCATCAGAACTTTGGGCGATCGACCGTTTTGCGTCGCCGCTTACGATTTCTCTATTGGTATCACTACGGATGAGATCTTTGACACTTCTGGATCGGGTCTCACAGGGAAACTCATCAATGCTCCAACGCGAGCCGTAAAGGGCTATAATCACGATTTTACGTCCGGCGCAGACTGGAAAGCAGCAAAGTACGGATTTGGTGCCGTCCACTTCCACGACGATGATCTGGACGATGCGGCTTGGGAAACAGATTTTAAGATCACTGTACCTGATAGCCTCCGATCAGGAGCCTATGCGGTAGAGATTCGGGACGAAGAAAGTTCTCTTCAAGACTCCATTGTGTTCTTCGTTCGTCCGAAAGCGATACGACCCCAGACTAAAGTTGCCTTTGTCTTTTCCACCTTTACTTTCCTGGCTTATGGTAATGAGCATATGTACGACGAGACCAAGTCTACTCATATCTCGTTCCCCGAGGGGGTTCAACTTTTACATTCAGAGAATTACGAGCGAATGGTGCGCCGAAAAGATCTAGGTCTAGCCATTTATGATCTTCACAATGACGGTCACGGCGTCGTCTACAGCACATCCAAGAGGCCGCTACTCAATATGCGCCCAGACTATGTCCACTGGGCTTTCCAACGGCCTCGAGAATTTTCGGCGGATTTACTGATGGTGGGGTTTTTGGAGCGCTTGCTGGGTGACGGCTACGATGTGTTGACGGACCACGACCTTCACCTCCACGGAGTGTCCGCTTTGTCTGGCTATGATATTGTCATTTCGGGATCACATCCGGAATATCCCTCCGCTCAATCCCTGGACGCTTATAAAGGATTTGCACAGCTCGGGGGGAGTATTATTTATGCTGGTGGTAACGGCTTTTACGTGTGTATGACCTCTTCCTGTCCATCCCAAATTGCTCACTTGTTATTCGCAGTGGAAATCCGTTACAGATCCAGCGCGCCCTCATCGGATGGAGGTTCGTCGTGCAGATGTTGGTGCCCGTACACACGAAAATCCACACGGGGAGCGCTACCATTCCCTCAATGGTGATCTGGGTGGACTATGGCGATCCATAGGTCGACCCCCGAACGTCCTTTTTGGCATAGGCAGCTGTGCTTCTGGTAAGGGGCCTGGGAGACCATTTTTTCCCACTCAAGAAGCTTTGAACAACCCTGACCTGGCTTGGCTATGGAAAGGACTAGATAGCTCGTCCAAAATTGCTTTGGGAAAATACGGGCTTGCTGGAGGAGCGAGTGGAGATGAACTCGACCGCCTGGACTTTGAGATCGGAACCCCCAAAAATGCCATTTTAATTGCGCGCAGCGAGAGGCACGACGATCATTTCATGCTGTTCAACGAGGAGTTAATATTTCCCATGATAGGAACTCTTGGATCCACGTCGACGCTTGTTCGAAGTGATATCGTCTACTTTGATACCGCTGCAGGAGGATCTGTTTTCAGCGTGGGAAGTATCAACTGGAACAATTCCATGGCTTGGGACAACTATGATAACGACATCGCACATGTCACCGCCAATGTCATTCGAGAATTTCTGCAGCGTGCAGAACAAAAGCGAACTCTGTCGACCTAGGTAGATAGTTAGCCACTAAATTCAGTCACCCCTGGCTACACCTTAATATAGCACTCGGTTGTCCCCATGCCTTGCAGGTATTTTGAGCTGCAGAACAAAGAGTGACCCGATCACAACACCGTTTACTTGTGATTTACATCGCGAGGCTTGGTGATAAAGGCTTCGATGAATATCTTTCTATCTCTCTACCTACCTGCCTACCTAGATAGAAAGTGTGTGGGTTCCGATGCTCCACCGCGGCTTCACCGTCTCATAAGTTTCACACCGCCAGTTTCCCATTGGCGTCTTCTTGAGTCATGTCATTCTTTGCACGCGTTCCAATTCACTCCTGGATGTTTTCATGAGAGGCTGGCGTTTCGAGTCAACTTGTGTAACCTTTCTTTTTATATTCCTTGTGGACGACTGCATGAATGGGGCTGACTGATAAAAGAGAGTGGCATTCTAACTGCGTCAATAACAAGCGCGAGCCATTGGCTCACTCTATGCCCAATATGAGGCGTCATCTGAAGGCTGGTCCAGGTAGATATAGAGTTAACCAGTCCGACGGATCAAGAGGCAATAAACTCCATCTCTGAAATCTGGCGCGGGTTGGTCTCTTCTGGAGCGCATCTTTTTGAGAATGGCCTCCAGCCCCTTGCTCAACCACGGTGTCTCCGACGGAGCATCGAAGTCAAATAGGCTATATCTTAAGTCGTACTGTAACATGTGGCCGTGTTTGCCTCAACTTCTCGACGAAATTTCGTGAGCTTTGGATGGGTATGGCCGAATCATTTTGCCCGTTGAAAATGACCATTACTGGCAAGTTAGCTCTCCATTGTGCTGGCCGTCGGCATCGGTATCTCCAGCAATTAGTACGATTGGATATAATTTGATGTCCTGCTCAAGGAATTCCAGATAGCGTCCATTTTGCACGATAGTGAGAGACAATTCAAGCCGATCGTGAGGATCTACTGCGATAACATCTTGTCTTCGGTTGTTCGGCATTGCCCCGATTCTCTCAAGATGGTCTTCTAGTACCCTGATCGGTATGTGCTTGACTTGAATTATAGGCTTCGATGAAGAAGCGTGAGCACAGTTCAAGGACATGATGTTCGGCGATAAGGGCACGAATCACCTGCCCATGTTTCAGGGCTAGTTGCATGGCCAAATAAGCCCATTGCGAATTCAATTGTTCAGTGATTGAATCCCTCCAGCACTTCAGAGAGCGGGCACTTACCTGCACTTTCACTGACAAACAATATCCGGGCTGGATCTGTTGAAAGGCCCTGGTGGTTTTTCTCGTTCAAGACTGTATCGATTCCTCCACCTTGCACCCAACCCCAAAATCTTCATGTCGTTCAGCATTTCACTGCCAGTGGCTTCGGGCATGAGGCGACAATTAGGTGACACGATAATGGCACCATGCTGGTGAGCACAATCTAGTATCCACGTAGTAAACCGCGGGGGATACAGACTTGACCCCGTTACCTTGCACGAATCAGCAGGCACAGCTGCAGCAAACCTTGGAACATGCATGTGACTCTCTCGACAACCCCTTCGACAGGTGGTCTCAAGCCCCAGGAGCATGTAGTGCGTTGTGGCCAGACTCCGGGTAAGCACATAGATCTCCATGGACTACGGTGCTTTGACTGGCACCAATTGCTTGAAACAAGAAATGCGCTCGTAAAAACCTACCAGATATCCGCCATGTAGCGTCAAGATCACAGGTCTTCTTTGCTGGTGTGTATCGTTCTCGAGGGTCTTTGGTACCAGTACGTGGAGAGTTATCTCGATTTGGGCGTTAGCAGAACTATAACGAAATTCATGTACGCGGAATCCTGGAGAGAATTTACCAACAGTAGCAGCAGACAGGACACCCAGCAGGTCCGGCAGTGCTCTGTCCAACGGTGCCCTCCCATTCTTCGTGTGGAGTGGGACGCGGACAGGAAGGACATACAGTACGTGACTAGCTTGTACCACTGACTGGCTCATACGGGGTTATGCTGTCGTTCCGTAATGGCGGACCTCGGGTCCGTATGCCAGTTGGAGATTTCGCATGAATTTCCGGATGTGGCAACGAATCATCGAAACGGGAAGCTGGGATCGACGACAATCATTGTCATCGCAACTGACGGGTTCAGTTGATCGAAGTTTCACTTTGCCGAACATGGAACTTGTTCCGTCAGCGAAGCGCGCGGTCAGAGTTCTACGTCTGGCGATCGGGCCGCTTAGTATTACTTAGGCTGACGCATGCTAGGTGGGTATCGCCGTGTTGCACTGCTCCTCTTATCCTCTCTAGTCGGGTTGCCACACTCCGGAAAGATACGGATAAACTATGCAGTCGTGCTTCGCATTCACTACCAACCTACACACTAATGCCATTACCATTACAGTACTATACCCTTAGGTAACATTGCTTCATATTCGTCCGGGATATCCTTGCCCGAATGTGGAGGCCCGTCTGGGTAAATGGAAAGCTGCAGGCGCGGGGTTGCAGGCGATACTGGGGGAAATGACTGATCAACCCCGCTGATTCCCGTCGGATAACTCTATGGGAAACATTCGACGTTCCCCGCCTCTTGTGTAAGGCCGGAGAGGCGGTCACTAAAGCGGTGAAAATCCTAGGAGATAAGCTGACCTAGAATCATTGGCTTCGCTTATCTGGTCGAAGCCCAGGAAATTCACCGCCCTGGTCCCACGTCTCCTCCTATGACACGCCCTGGATTCCCAACGCTCTTCGGCTAGTTATCGCAGGACCCCGCCCTGCAGCGCGCCAGTCACTCAACCGACCTCACTTTTCAAAGCCCGATCCCTTGCTACCATCCAGTTGAGTGTCATCGACATTTACCCAACCGGTCAGCGAGATTCCGTGGCAGCGAGGATCCGTTACTGAGACGAATATCTTCTTGGTGCCATCCTGCAGCCGGCTCTACCTTCGTTTCTCTCCTGAAACTCTGCGATTGCCACACCTATTTCGTGATGAGCCACAGAGACTGCCATACTTGCGCGGCGTTCGGTCGCCCCTGCGATCGACAAAGACCACAGTGCACGAGATGCTTGGGACAGGGGAAGCACTGCGGTGGATACCCCACTGCATTGTCGTGGGATGCGAACAGAACATGGCTCAACGATATGCGACGCAGAGGTAGGGCTCCCAAACATGACAAGTCCATGCTGAGTTCACTCACATAAGAATAAGGAGGCGCACTGCAGTCACCCGGACAGCAGGCACCGAAGGAGCGTCAATTTACTTTTGTGATGGGCCCGTCGAGAAAACGAAGAAAGCCTGCCAACCGAAATGACTCTAAGGGGCAATGTCGCATTCAAGATATCACCCAGGACAAATCTTCAGCAGCATTGCCCGAGGCTCCGTCCACACTGTCAGCTGGTCAACCCACCCTTTTGGGTGAAGATCACAACGGCCTCCTTGATAACTTTGGTGAGATTCATTGCTCCTCTCGAATCTAGCATAGCCTTACGCCATAGGCTCTGTGGACGATACCCCGGTCGAGTCGTTTTTGCTAAACTCGGAGATCTCGGACGACGCCCAGCTCAATGACCTGCTAGACGCGGTAGAAAACTTCGACCAAGCTGTAATTGGGGGTCCTGCACAGGACCCAGGCATAAATGCAATATATGAAACCGAGAATGCTCCTCATTTTCAATCCTTTTCCCTCCATGAGGACTTCATTGCACCTCCTCTCGAAAAAGAACTATCCGCATACGAAAACCAAGAGGCACGATTGCCGGATCCTATCTTCACGGACAAGCCGTGCGTAACCGCACCCCTAAGGCCTCTGCCTGGCATGATCCACCAGCACGAGGATCTCTTGACGATGTGTCGGTTTCCCCTTTCTGGTCAAGTAATAGGAATAGACAACTGACTCTCTCAGACAACACATCGTTTTGCATTCTTCCATTGACGGCGGATATGAATCTCAATCCCTTCCGCATCCGCCAACGTGATAATCTACCTTCCCCCAGCTTCGTAGCGCATGCAGTTCTGGCATTGAGCTGCCAGCACTTGAACCACTTGACGGGAGGGTGGGCGACGAAAGCGGTGGAGCACCGATCCAAAGCAGATCTGATGCTCGCGGCTGCCCTCTCAGGTCGAGAATATCCTAACTCGCTCGGAGATATCTTGGACGCCATTTTGATCATGATCACTCAAGATGTAAGTGGTGTCCATGGACATTATTGAATCAACATTAGTACCTGACTCTTCTAGTGTGCACTTTCGGCCTTAGGGACATGGAACGTTCATCTGCGTCGTGCTCTCGAAGCACTCAACGCCGCTGGGGCCGTCGCAGCTCTTGACGACACCAGGGTTCAATCACAAGTCGCCATGCTCGTCTGGTATGCTGCCTCGTTTCTGAGCTCGAACTACAAGGGATCGTTCAATGTTGAAAGACTGACCAGCGATGCTTGGCAGGTGGGACGCTACCCTTGCATTAGTCTCTCGGCATGGTTGCATGTTCGATATGGCCTATGTGAATCGTCTGCTCGAGGAGGAGAAGCACAACAAATGGTCTTTCTACGACATCACAGGTTGCCCAGGGGAGATGGTCAGGTGCCTTGTCGAGCTAGCATGTTTGGCAAAACAAGCTGAAATCGGGGCTTCATACACTTGGCTGACATTTGATACTGGCCCCGTCAGCATCATCGAGGAACGGCTGAATTCAATGAAGCCCGACACGTTCGGCGATAGCGACACTATCATCACTGACGATGGAGCTACAGAAAATGAAGAGGAAGAGGTGTTCCACGCCCACCAAGACCAATTGCAATGTATCGAAGCGTGGCGCCTTGCCCTGCTTCTGTACATACAGAGAGTCTTTATGTGGGATCGTATGGGTTCTCGACCTCCAAAGGTGCGCCTACTTGTTAGGTCTCTGCTAAACTGTGTATCGTCCTGCCGACGGACATCTCAAACCCAGAAGCAAATGCTCTTGCCTGTATTTCTTGCGGGAAGCGAATGCTTTGATGAAGCTATGCGTCAGGTCGCTCGTGGCTATTGTGATTGGTGGGTGCACCGATCCCATTATTACATGTTCGACTCAGTTTCGACTCTTCTGGATGAAGTGTGGGCAGGTATGAGCGATCAAGCGTCGAATGTCTGGTGGGGCGGCGTGATTGATGAGAAGACGAAGAAAGGGACTCAAGCGGAAACTGGTGCTCAATTCTTGTTCGGATGAGATACTCTCCACAGTAGGAACATCCAATTCTCAGCTTCCTCGAATTGTATCGGCACAATTGGATTTCGTAGAATACCAGCAAAACCCATCAATCGCCTCTGTGTCCGTACTATTGCTCACCGACAAGTACTTCACTCCTTGAGGCTTATCAATATTTACTACCCGCCCTTCTCAGTCGCATCGTACTGATTACCGGCGGCCACCAAGGTGGTCCGGCAAGCCAAAAGCGTCGGCACGTTTTTACGATAACTTGTTCATTTCGTTGAGCATGTTCCAATCGATATTAGGCCCGGAAAATTTCTTCCGCCGTTCAATCCATAGGAGGCATAGTATAAGAAAGAGGCCAGAGACGACCGCCGAATTGCTAAGTACAAGCGCATCAGTGGCGGTGCGGTGAGGGTATGGCTATTCCAGACACTTACTAATTCATAGATCCGGCTGATGTTGGCAAGGCGTTTGGCAAGCACATGACAACTCCGCTGACAATCAGCCAACAGACCGAGAACAGGTTAATAGCATAACCAAAGTTTCCCAGGCTAAAAGCGCGGCTGGGAAGCTTCCTACGGCCGGTGGTGACCAAAATCCCTTGCGGAATTGTGAATGTAATGTTCAGCATCAAAACCGCGGCGTTGATGATAGAGTTGTAAGCTGCTGTGCTGGCGATGTAAAGCAAGCCATAGATGGCGCAAAATGCCGCCGACAGGTATGTTGCCCGCACCGGAAAGCCTCGTTTCATATCAATATGCTTCCAATAATTCGAAAAAGGGAGCCCATTCTGTGGCCATCTGTTAGACGAGGAATACCTGTAAGAAGACGGACAAGATACTGACATCTCGCGCAAAGGCCCACGTGATGCGGCTGCTGGTGATCCACTGACTTGGAATGCAAGCTGCATAAGTAAGCGTAAAGGGACAGATAGTGACATGAATAGCGGCGCATACTGTAATAAAGAAACGTAAGGTAGGCCTGCAGGGCAGTAGCACCCGCCTTGCTGCCAGTGGCCTGATAGAAAATCTCCATCACAGGTAAAAAGGAGCCTTGAACGGCTTCCAGATCACGGATGCAAAGCAGCATGACAATAATCCACGGCACGGCCCCAATTGTACCAATTAACATGGTCATGTTTCTGTTGCACCAGCTGTGTAAGTATGGCAAATGGAAGCCAGCTTTTCACTTACATAACCAAGGGTACCTTTCGTCCTGGACGAGGCAACTCTTCTGCAATGTGGGTAACAGCCCCAGTCCCTGCAAAGCAGTACATCCCGATGGCGATGCTCAGAAGCCAGGAGGCGCCGGCATTCCAACCGCTGCTTCCATGCATATCGACCAGGATAGAACCGGGCTGGTAGTGCCCCGGGCTTGTGGCGAGACAAACAATAATTGTAGCAATCATTCCGACCAACGAGAAGGCCATCGAAGTTTTCGTCATCTTGTCTATATGGTGGTGAGGAATTGTCATAATCGGCAAGACTAGTCAAGTTAGCGGGGAGGGCCTCGATGTATAAGATTATCTGCTACTCACGAGATATAGCGATCACCCCTAGGTAGCAAAGATAGACTTGGTATTGCTTCTGGGCAAAATTAGGGAACCATACTGTCGCGCAGCCAAACGCAGATATAGCTGTGTACAGTGTTCCCGAGCTGGTGGTGATCCACCAAGCTAGAATATTGATCATGCCCGTGATATAAGCTGCATAATCCTTGGTGGCTTTGGGTGCTAGAATATAGGCAAAGTGATACTGGCCCTATCGCTCAGTCAGAAAGTGATGTTCATGGAGATATTGCCAGCCAATTCATACCCCCGAAGACGGAAAAGCAGAACTCAGCTCTGCCAAACCGAGTAGGACTATCCACTGCACACCGGCGGCCAATACCAGGCCGAAGACGGCAGTAGCTCCACCTCCAAACTTCAGTGCAAGGCCGATACAGGAGGCGTAAGTTAGCCATGAGTTGGTGATACTGAGATTTCGTAAGCTTATTGCCATAGTTGGCGCAGATGAGCGAGTCAGACCTGTAAGCAAGACCAATCGCTCCTACCCAGGAGAAAGAACGCTCCATCTCTGCGTTGTGGCCTTGGGCTCGCAAAAGACAATCGTCGACATCTTCGACCTTCCCTTCCAAGTTCGAGGAGGGTAAATGGACAAGGTCAATGTCACCATTACTTGATGCTTTGCCGACCATGTTGATATTTTCAATTTTCGGCATGGTTGACTTGTGTAGATTCGCTTAAGGTCTCTCAAAGTTCGCCTGGGTGAGAGCATCTGAAGAAAACGTCTGCGAGAGAAGGATCCTGGGAGAACCGACTGAAGTAGTTACGATACGGAAGTGATGACCTGATAATGATAAATACCCTTGGCGCGGAGACGGAGGGTCTTAGAATATACCCTACTTTTTAGGCTGCCTTTTAGGGAGTATAAGACCACTGCCTTTTTTGGAAATATTCCTTTCAAGCTACCTTTGGCCACAATGCCATCTCTTATGGAGCAAACTCCACTCTCACCCACTTGTCCTTGTAACTGGTGAGTGCGATATCTTTCAAGGTCATCGCATTAAGAAATCATTGCACAAACTCAAACTACATATGACGAAGGCGACAGGTAAACGACCAAAGATAATGAGTGACAATCTTTATAAAAGTTCTAGAGCTCTTCGCCGGTGGCATCAGCTATCAAGAGTCATTGTGCCAACACTTCGTCTGGAAATCTGACCTTGTGGCAGTCAAAGTAGATTCCTGATGGTCTACCGTGTCCATTACCGCCATTTTCGGAGAATTGGTATGGTCCTGCTCCTGGATTACTACATGAAAAATAACCCATGTGGAAAGAGCGCTGCCGGTGTTTCTATGCAATGTATTGGGAAGCCGCCAAGGTTTGTATGGCATTTTGCTGAGCTGAATGATTTACTCAAGCCCCAGGGCGAATTCACAACACCTTATGGCCCAGTCTAGTCTCATGGGTAAGAGTGTAGGAGCTTGCTCTCCCTGTACAGCCACAATGGTTCTGCCGATTATCCACCCCTGCCGATCTGAAGCTAATGGTTTTCGACGTTCGTGGCGGACTTTCGTTTGAACATTGTATGTACCACATTTGGGGGCTGCCAAATTTGGAAGTTTTCGTGAAGCCGGTTTTGGTCATCACAGGGACTGTTCGTCGAATTTCCCCGGGTTCCATTGATCCCACCGTCAGAATTCTTCGATGGCCGCCACGAGCCGACAAATCCCGGGCTGAATTTGTCTCCATGGAGGTCACCTATCAGGCCACCAAATACAACATTGGATGACCACTCAATCCAGAGGGAGCGAAGGCGGCCCCAATGCCGAAAGAACAAGTCTTCTGGCAGGATCACTGAAACAATAGATACAGTCTTCTGATCAACTATATAGTTGCTCCTATCGAAAGCCCGAGTCATAGTAAGCTCTAGTACTTGTCTTCATGTCGTTTCAAGGAGGCACGCGTAACGTTTTGTTGGGTTTGGCTTGTCAGTGAGGCTGGACAGAAGTTACCTTTTAGAGAGGTCACTCGGTGGAGGGATCTGGCAGAAGACACAGAGATCTGTATCGGAGTGTACGTTGCGAAACGTGCACCCTATGGAGAGGGGGGTGAAGGTGATATTCGAAGGTCTGGATATTCAGTGGAAGGGCGAACCGAGAGTGGCCGTGACCGAAAATAAGACTCGAAGTTAACTATATCGAAGTTATAGGGTGAGCGCTGTTGTGAGGAATGGCCTGGGGCGACAGGCAGAGGGCAATAGTAGGGTAGTATTCAACAGCTATAAGTATTCCTTGACCCTCGGTCTCTGCAAGACTCGAAGCATAAGAGGACATAAGTACTCTTATGCGAGTCGGGGGAGACTTATGTAAGCCTTCCAGGTAAGCTTGGCAGCTAGGGGTACTAGTTCCTAACACTGACTAGGCTTTGAGGGGGTAAAGGGGTGCGTCCCTACGTGTACTTATTCTCTTGGCGGGGCCCTAAACCCGGGGGTCTTTCGCCCGATGGTAGGCCCGCCTCCGTGTAGTGCCCTAGACAACTTAGTGAGCTTAGTACTAAGTAGAGTAAGTAAGGATTAGCTATGGACACCCTTATAGCACACACTCTCTATATCCTCCTCGTAGTTAACTTCATCTCTTAAACCTAGCATTTAGAAAAACACCTCGTTAGGTGGTATCAAGTATAGTGTAAATACTATACACCTTTGTAATAGAGATTATTATACCTATCTAAAATGATTAGTTGGTGCTTTACCCCTATACTCAAGAACTTCTGAGTATACCCGAACGTACCCACGTGAGAGTGCGATACTTGACAGAAATACTGACTGGGTCCAGACATCAGTATTGTCTTTTAAGCCTTCTCGTACTATATAATGTACCATTTCTCATGATCCTCCACTCGTTACATCCCATGGGCTTTTGAGATCGTACTTGGACAAAGGTACACTCGGGAGTCTGCGTCGACCATCCACCCGATGGTTAGCTACACCAACGGGACCATGAGCGCATTTGGACAGCTTGTAATGGGTGACTTGTGACGAAGATGGAAACCGAAATTCAGCCTTGCTGCTGTCGTGGTGTCGAGCCAGCAAGTAGCTGAGAGTGTATAAATGTCGCGTCTAGATTACACGGACAGGAAGCCAAGACCGAAGCTCAGTCTTCGTGAGTGACGGCGCCTGCGCCAAAATGGCCATAAGTACGTGAAAAAGGGCCTGCACGCCGTCTTCTCAGTATGAGACGACTCAAAGGGTACGCCACTCGGCGTGATAAAATCTATTATTACGTAATCTCTGTCTGCGAGGCTAATCTCTAGTCCAAGCGGGAGCCAATGTCAAAAGAGGCAGAAAATTGTGCAGTCTCAAGCTCGAATTCGTCGCGTCGAGAAGGACGTACAACCGAGTTGAAGGCAGGCAAGCCCGTGGCAAAAGAAACCATCTTCGTAAATTTTTTAGCTATAAGAGGAAGGTGGAATAAGAAACAGAAACTCGACCCTGCTCCAGAAGCTTCCAGGCTTTTGCTGCTTTTGTCACTTTTGTCTAGCAATCTCTGCAATCGGAAGAACGTAGCAGAACATTATCACGCAATCGCCTACTGTGCTTGGGAAATTGCCAATGCTCGCGGGTAAGTGACTGTGCAGTTGACGCTCGGACACGGAAATTGTGGTGCCTGTGAATCTTCATTGTCCTCTATTATCCGACGAAACCAATAGCATAGGTACTGCTTCTTACCCAAAGAGGCCAACCTGAAGAGGGGACGGCACAAAGCTAGCGCGAGATAATATTTTCTGGAGGCAGATATCATGCCGTGTGCCTGAGGGGTGTCTGTCAAATCGCTCATGTCATTGATTTGATTGATTTGAAGAGTTGCACTTCTGTTACCCACACGACCAAATCTCTGCGCCCATCTCATTTATCGCAGCAGGCACTTGATACTACTCCTCAGCAGATGGAGGTACTAGCTCTCAGGCATTGGCCGTGTTGCTATTGGCCTCTATCAAACCAAACTCGAGAGATTGGCTTCTCTATTGAACACTATACTAGGTAGAGTTTGCATTCTCGATTGACAGCGCTTTTATCATCTATTTTCGTTAGTGATAATTCAAATCCCGGAACGAGGCTTTCGAACCGTTATATCTAATGGTAGGATGGACGATCTTTGGCCTTTTGCTCCCTCTTCTTTGAATATGCTATTCTTTCCACGTCGTCTTGCTTCAATATCTCAGCATTGCCTCCTTCCTGGTGTAGAGTTACATCTCGCTTGATCGACGTAGACCCTGTGCGTCCACTGCGCTCAGTGCGTGTGTGAGTTTCGATGGGCATTATTCCCATATGAATAAGGAGATGATGATGGATTTCGTTCAACTAACAGCACGGATTAGCTTGGAGGGTTGAGACAATATCTTAGGTTCGATAATTAAATGATATAAACTACCTTCCTGTTGGGCGAGACGATATGTGATATGACAATTCGTCTATAGACTGTGTGAAGACGAGAGACTATAAACTTCTCGTGTCGGCCACTAACCATCAAATACAAGCTCACCGTCTCGCCACCGTTTAAGGCATATCAATGGTTTCGAGTCTGGGCGTATGGCCATAGCCGGGGCGGTGCCAACTAGGCAACTATCTACTTATGTTTATGCTTGTTCCTGCCCATCAATGATCTTAGGTCTCTCGAATGATGAAACAGGATAATTGTGTATTGGACTAGGCAGTAGTGACACCTAATTAACTAACGACAAGATGGTCGCTTTAGCCAACGTACAGACAATAATTTTGCTGCTTGATCCACTTGAGCATCACACTTCGTCAAAAGAGGGGATGACATTCTCTCAACGTGGGTGGGATGAGGACCAATAGATATACAAGCGATGACTCGAAGTCAGTTTTTATGTGCACACTTGATGGCTGGGCGACAGTGTCAAGTTGTGACTACTGCGAGCCTCAAGGGTGGTTGCTATCAATCCTTGATAGCCAACCATTTCACAAGCTGCGACACTGACAGAGGTGCAAGGAAGTGTCAGAAGGAGATCGTTGGCTCGCATCAGCTCACCAGTGTCGAGAACTTTCCCGCCAGGCTTATTCATTAAATATCTCACCAGTTCGAGCTCGTCGTTTAGTAGGTATTGTCGCTTCGATCGTGTTTCCCTGGCAATAGGACCCCTTTCGTATGAGAGTTACCTACTAAACTCACAGCAAGCGTGATGCTCATAAGTTTGTCATTTCCTAAGAGATGTACAGCTTGTTTCATTGGATTAGGTTATCATCCGTGACACGTATGTCCTTCAATTTCACCCGTGTAGTAAGGAAAGACGCTGGGCCAGACGCGAGAGGAGAAGGGTCAGGCGACAAAGTATGAGTGAAACCATGTTGGCGACTTTTGGGGGATTGCTGACCAGCAGTATGGTTGGTAACATAGTGCACTATATCGTCAGGGGAACATGAACTGGCAGGCCTAGAATCTCCTAAAGTGTCATTTTTAAATGTCCAAATCAACAATAGTGTTGAGAAACATTCGGCTGTTGGCAGCACATATACGGTCTATCCTGCCGATCTATATGCCTATTAAAATCACAGGCTCCCCTGAATGCCTTGAGAGTGTCTTGACAATTGGGAGAATTGAAGCAGAGTCCTCCGTTTTCGTTCCGAAGCAGCGGACACGTGCGATTTCCTGCACTCCTGCTGCTGTTGCTATGATGTTGTGAACAGGCTGAGAAACTGGGCGGCCATTCTGACTGCTAGTGGTTTGATCCTGGACCTTGACCACTTTGTGATGAGAATGTATGGTTCAGGTGTATGCCTATGATGAGAAAGACGCCTTGTGCCTTTCTTCAGCGCGCTCTATTATGTTGGTGTTAGTGCCGCGTACCTACAGTAGTTTTCATCAGTTACATTGTACAGACATGTCAATAAATACAGCCGTGAATCCAAGAACTGGGGAGGTTCAGATTTGTAACGCTGAAGCAGTACGTCTGAGCACGAAAGCTGCAAGGCAGACTCGAAGGACCTGGCCACTAGCAATGTCGGCTGGAGTGTGACGCGTTTCTAATACTCTCGTTCATGATGATACCGGGAAAAGCGAACATCCCACAGGCTAATGTGATCTGAGCTGTTCACATAGCCCTAACTTGCTTTTCCATCTTCTCCATCTATGTAACATGTGAAGCTCTTGCTCGGGCGTCCTCTTTGTGGCTTGACAGGCAGCGTTTTCCAGCTTCTGGTCTAAACCGATTACCAAGTCACCGACAGGACGCCCAAAACTTTAAGAGCGGTCGCTGTGGCGGTCATCGCACAGGCATCAACGTTGACCAGCCTATTAAAAGGTGAGGCATCTGGACTAGTGCGGCACAACTTACAAAAGTTCTTGAAAGTGATGTGCTCTGGGGCCGTGTCAGTGCTACCTCCTGAACAGCATCGCAACGGAGTCGCAAGGTTCAGCAGACTTTTATTGGTCCTCACTACACCCACATTAAGGAAATACTATGTCCTCTCAGTTGCGAATTGTAGCAGTGGAAGCTTATATTTTAACTTGTTTCTCTACTTCTTGAAGAAGTAGAGGCACATATATACATCAAAGTAACATACTAGAAGCTTCCTCACGATTTCCAAGCACGCGGAATGATTCCATAAGACTTTCATCGACGTTATAATAGTCGGTTGAGCCTCATATCACAACATGCCGAAGCCGACACACATGGGTTTCGTTGATCGACTGAATTGCTCGTCAGGGGGAGAGGCCGAGAGACAAGAAGCTATTAAAGTTGAAGTTGAAGTTAGCGAAGCTAAGAAATGGGAGAAAGGAGTCTCAAGCAAGCCCCGGGATCCTTTGATGGTGTCACGACCCTCTGGCCCGCGTCACAGGGGGAGAGTTGGATCCTAGGTCACGTGATGTGCAGCCTTCTGCCTGCCAGGCAGGAGCGCCACCAGGAGACTGCCTAGCGGTACTCTAGGCAGAGGGTGGGGGTGTAGCAACTATAAGTAGCTGCAGAGTCCCTTCATAGCACAATAATAATCATCACACTTGTTCTCACTTCAGGGTTTCTACTGTTTCGGGTCCTCCTCGACTTCTGTGTAACACTAATCACTCGTCTACGCTATGTGTATTGGAGGACCGTGGACGGAACTGCTCGGAACTGCTCCAAAAGTCCCGTCCTCAACATCATCTTGGCTGCACGGACGGCGATTGACGAGCTACAGAGAACTTGCTTGATATCCATGCGTGGAGGTTTGCCTGCCCACATTCGTTGTCGCTCCTCGCACCAATTCCGGCATTCGAGGAGGATGTGCCTCACGGTTTGGCGTCCATAGCCGCATTGGCATTGGTTGGTGTCGGCCTTGTTGATGGTGTGGAGGTAGGCGCGAAGGGCGACCTTGCCGGTTCGCATCTGGGTGATGGTCGAGCTGATCGCCCGATGTGTGCCCACATGTGTGGTGAGCGTTCCTTTTCCCGGTCGAACCCCCAGTTTGAAGAGTTCTCGGCCGTGTTTGGCGGTTTCCCAGGATCGTTCCCACTCCGCTTTCATGGTCTGTCGGATGGTGGACTTCGTGGTTGCCATCAGCGTCAGGCACGGTCCTGAGTAGAGCTCCGAAATGAATAAACGAATACGAATATAGCTTATATTCATATTCGCCTTTACGAATATGAATAAAGTGAATATTTATTCATGCGAATATGGGTGTTGAAGCAAGTGATAGTATTGTTGGTTGTTAGGATGATCCTTTCCAGGCGGGATGACTCTCTTATATACACAAGTTCCTACCCCTTGTCACACCGTTTCAGCCACCGGGATCTTCAACAGAAGGTATCTGGACCGAATCTTCAACAGATATTCACTTTATTCATATTCGCCTTTGCGAATATGAATATAAGCTATATTCGTATTCGTTTATTCATTTCGGAGCTCTAACCACGACTGGCAACGAGACCGTGGAGAACGTGACTTCGACATGTCGCAGTCATTGTCAGCAACTACAACTCGATCTAATTGAGTCAGAATCACCAACGATGAGGGATTTTCTAGCGTCGTACCCATCCATGCCAATGTACTTTGTCAATATATTGCCAATACATTGCCAATATCCGAAATGACTCGTTGATATAGCGGACGAATGTACCCGTTTTGCCGGCGCCAGAGGAACGTGGATCAGAGTCAACTGTCTGCAAGATCATGCCTTGTCAAGACATCTCTTTCCAGCCTTGTCACTTTGAATAAATGACCCTACGCGTCTACTCCAGGGCTCATTTCATCTTGCAGGATGTTCGTCATACAATCCCACAATGCCTCTGATTCAGACCGCTAGTCCAGCGCCATTCGATTACGAACATGTCAGAGACCTTCGGAGGGCACTAGAACAACTCACCCTTCCCCCGGGTAACTCTATTGGCACTATCGTTTCCCATCACCTCAGTTCTATTGAAAACTACGGTCGGCAATTAAAGTTAGGACGTCATACTCTGAGCAACGCAGAATCTCTAGCGACCGGGTTTTAATGATCTCATCTTGATTTTCACAGCTCCGACGAATAGGGCAGATGCTTTACCATTCCGAGCCAATGATGGCAGCTTCGAGAACTCTTTGCTTCTTGGATAGTATTCTCCAGTGGGCCAGTCAAGGCAAGCGGAATATAAACAACACCATCATTCTCCATGGCCGAATTCTCCGCAGTCAAATCCTCCAGGCTAGCGAATCTCCAGCGGAAAGGTAACTCCGTGACAATCACGGTTTTCGGGTCATCCAAGACATCTGTGACTTCTTGCAGCCCGGAGTTGTTCTCGTCTGCAGTTGTTTTCCATTCGAAACATCCGACCTCCTGAGAGCAGATCTACTTGTTTCTTCTGTCTCCGAAGCTGGTAGCATTGAGACACATAATGCCAGCTTCAAGAACTTCACCAGCAGACAAGACTTGCACAGCATAGCTATGAAGTTGTCGGTTGACCTATTTACGAGTGGGGGTATCGGTATGACGGATTGGGCCCAAAAACTGTACGAGTACCTGAATTTCGTTGCCATGAATTGTAGAGTCGTGGTATATTTATGACCGGAGCAGAATGAGATTAGGTAGAAGGATATTCAATCTATTTACTCAAGTCCCTCAATCAAGGACTTCTCGCGCTTCCGCTTCGTCATTCGCCTGCCACCCTCGCCGTCTTCTGTCCTTCTGAATCACAAAGTACCATGACAACAATATCGACGTGATCGACACGATCAGAAAACACAAACAAATTATATGAGACATGGTAACTCGGGCCAAACACCGTGCTGTAGACGTGAGGTCCGACAATGCCTCCAAATTGAGCCATGGCATTTGTCCAGCCGATTCCAATGCCAGCTCCAACAGTACCTTCGAGGGCGCGGATACGTTTAGGCCATATGACTGGATATGCGGAGCCAGCGCAAGATACAGCGACAATGAGTGCCAGGTACTTGACCACAGGCTGTGCACGGTGATGAGGATGATGTAGCATATGACGGTGGTGCCCTCGACTGTCAATGATGATGTTAGTGTTAATAGCTGAAATCAAAAGTTGAAGAGTAAAGCCTACTTGAGACAGCGGTTGTCCATGGACGAATCCATTTCTTATGCAGAAGTCGACCTAGCGTATTGAGCAAGATGAAGCACGAGACGTAGGGAGGCTATGTTGAGGTTGCGTTAGTCGTCCTCGTATCGCTGATGTGCCAGGTAGACAGAACTTACGATGTTCATCAACTGTGACTTGGCTGTCGTCGTGAAGCCAAGCTGGTATATTACGGTCGGTAGCGCGTAATTGATGCCGAAGCCGCCGATACCATGTGCGAGCCAGTAAAATGTAAAAGTGTACGTGCTTGGGTCACGCAGAAAGATCTTCAGCGATGACCAGTCCCAATTGCCTTTCTTCCCTTTTGGCGCAGTAACACTGAGTCTCTCGGCCATGTAAGCTCGTTCTTTCTCGTTCAACATCCTTGCCGTTTCAGGGTAATCTGGCAGACCGAAAAGCGCGATGAAGGATAGGATGATTGCCGGCAATCCTTCGAGGAGAAAGAACCAACGCCATCCTGCGAGGTTGCCTAGCCCATCCATATAAGAAATTCCAAAGGCCAACAACCCGCTCAGTGCGCTTGAAAGCTGGCCGACCGAGTAGAATAGGGCGATGCGCCATGGAAGTTCCTTGGGTTTGTAGAAGAAATCCATATGGTAGAGCACGGCAGGGTACTACTTTGTCATTAGTAAACAAAGACATGGGATACACGCGGTATCATTGATGAGTAAGTAGACGTACAAAACCAGCCTCAGCTGCGCCAATAGCGAATCGTACACACATCATGCCCTGGAAGCTTTGGACAGCTGCTACTGAGCATGCACAAATGCCCCAGGCTAGGATGAGGACGAACATCCATCTTGAGGGTCGGAAGGTCTTCAACAACAGTGTGTTTGTGGGCTCGAAGATTAGATAGCTGTATGAGGAGATAGACAAAGTCCACGCCCACATGCCAGGTGTGAAATGCAATTCCTTCTTGATGCCCGTACCGTGTTCAAGATTGATAATGGCAGCATTGGAATAGTTCGACGAATCGATAACCCGAAAAATATACACGGTCGAGTAGAAACCAACAAGCCAGAAGTCGATCTTGCGTTTGACTCTTTTCTCAAAGTTTGCGTCCACCGCAATATCACTGGTAGTATCAATCTGACTGTCAGAGGGCGAAGGAGGGACCTGGGAGGTGAAAGTCTCCCTGGCTGTCTTCTCGGTCGACATTCCGGCAGAGACAAATTCAGGCGTGTCAGGGAATCAAGGTCAATTGATTGCTAATCCAGATTATGCGGGCCACCGACTGACCTGCTCATCCACGAGAGAAGAGCACATTGTGTACTGGCCCGCGCTCCTGGTATTTAACCAGGAGACGGTAATACGGCTTCTTCATCACGACATCAATGAGAAAAAGGCGTCACGTCGACCAAGTAACTCTTTGCAGTCAAGTTCAACGGGTCCAGATTCGAACAGATAGCGAAACATCATCTCTGTATTGGGCCGGACTAGCATTCAGCACTTTTGATGATAGCCGCACTTCCAGTATCAGAGCAACGTTCATAGAAGCAATTATCTTGACTACCCGCATTCCGTCCGGGTGTGGGGGCGCCACCCATTTGCAAACTCTCCAACAGGGTGTTTCTGACGTGGGATCATCGAGGGCTGCAGCAATCACGACTCTTTAGCACAAAAGCACGCAGTCAGCGTGGGTGGTGATAGCATTCCCCAACACAGAACCGAGGTCTTGTGTCTCAGGGTCTGACTCCCATCACATAGAGATACGTACCTTTCAGCAGACCCCGCACTTTATAAAGAGAAAGAAAATGCCGGATGTCGAAGTGGTACATTCTTTCTTTGCTCCAATCATCAAATCGATAGTTCCAGAGTGGTTGTTCAAGCCTTGGAATCAACCAAAATATGGCACCATCGGCTATTGAAAACCCTGTTTCTGGGGTGTCTCCGAGGCAAATTCTGGCGAAGCCATGGAGCCGTCCAGCCCATACCAAGGAAAACCTCGATTGGGCTCCGTTGACCAAGATTGATCTCTCGCGCTTCGATCAGCCTGGTGGAAAGCAAGAACTAGCCAAAGAGCTCTATGATGCCGTCACTAGAGTTGGTTTCTGGACTGTCGTCAATTCAGGAATTGACGATGAACGAGTCCTTCGCCAATTCAGCGTTGGAAACACTTTCTTCAAGGAACCGCTGGAGGAAAAGCGCAGATTTCCCTGCAACTTTGCCGAAGGAGAATACTTCGGATATCGAGAGAATAGCCGCTGGGTGGGTGACACTGGTGTCAAAGAGAATATCGAAATGGTTTGTCGTCAGCACACAATATGTGTTTCATTCTCTTACTTCTGTTAGCTTAATATCCCGAAAGCCATCCCGGCATATGCCGATGTTGGCAAACATAAGATAGTTGAGGAGCTAGCCCAGTGTGGCCCAGCTGGTCCATACTGGTCCATGCTGGGCCAGGGTGCAGGTTCAGCCTTGTCTCATCAGCCTGCCGGCTGCTTGTCGGCATACCTGCCCCTGGTGCCTCCTGCTGCCGTCACAACTTCCGTGTGCGACCTGTTGGCCAGGTCGATTCGTAACACGCTTACGGTTTTTCTGGTTTTATGGGCAATCTCCCTATAATAAAGGGTTGGCTAGGGTACTCGTGTAGTCGGGTTAAGCTCCTGGAATTCTTGCATATCATTGAGTAGATCTCGTGGTAAAATAGCCGTGAAGGTAGCTTATGATTGGTACGAGCGATGAGGCGTCGCTAAGAGTCACTTAATATGAAGCACTAATTATATCAAGCCACGACTAGCCCATATATTCTACAGCAGTATATTGAGCCTTAAGCATTCTTGTGTTGAGATACGTATTAGCACACTTTCCCACGACATCAAACTTATAACTATTATCAACAAGAATCCACCGAAATATCTTATCGTGTTTATCTGCCGTTTGGAGGAGACTGTACACCTCATTACGGCCCCTGGATTCTCGCCCATTATTACTTATAACACGCCGGGAACCCATCTTGACGCCGGCTCTCAACTTAGCGAGTGCCGGATTTAGCCCGCCACCCTTAATCTGGATACATGGGCTCGGAACGGCTGAACCTATCTTTAAAACCGTCTTGCAACTATTCATGGAAACCCTAATATATATACTTATCCCTTATCGCCTTAGCTATCGATGGGAAATTAAACGTGATCACGGTATCATTAAGCGTCGGGTAGTCTAGGGGGAGAATAGGTGAATAATTAACCTTAGCGGCGGTATCGTAGTGAATGCGATGACGCTGCGATGCATACTGATATCTCAGGTACTGCGCGCTGTTCCAACAATCGAAAACCGTCGAAAGGCTGTAGAGGGAGCTTGCACATTCACTGTGCGACCAATGTCTAATTTCGGGACCCGCATCAGGCTGAGATCTCTCCATGCGAAGTCTGCACCATTGCCTCTGGATATCTGAAACGCTTATTGGACCACGCAAACCAATTGATAGTGCTCAACATTGCGACTATGGCGAAGACAACAATGGCATAATTCATTGTGACGCCCGTGACCGGAACATAAAGTGGAAAGCAGAGCCAGACAAAGATGAAACAGATCCAGACCACACTGATCACATTCAGAGCACGCCCAACAATCTTGCCGAGGTCAAAGTAATGTGTCGCGGCAAAGTCTTTTCGGTGCTGCAGCAATGCACAGGTGATCGGGATGGCGTAAGATGCGAATATGAAGAGGATGCCGGCACCGAGAATGGCGTTCAGAGCGGTTGAGGAGCCCAATTCGAGAAGGCCAATAAGTATGCACACCAGGAACCCGAGGAGGACTGCATGGACAGGAATCGAGGATCCGGTGGACATCTTGCCCATGGTACCGGAGAAAGGCATGCCGTCATCGCGTGAGAAGGACCAGAGCACGCGTGAGAACGTAGTCAACAATGTGGAAGAGGCGAAGAGGAAGCAGATTATGAAAACAAGTACCCCGACTATCGTCAGAGGCAAATCATTGAAGGAGTCGACCATGAGTTGAGCGATAGGCTGGCCGCCGACTGGGGCGAGGAGGTTGACGGGGTTGGTGATGCAAAACATATAGACCAGTAGCATCACAAGGCCGCTAACCGCGCTGAGGAGTGCGCTCAGCACCATGACTTGCGGAACCTGACGACGAGGATTGGGCATCTCCTCAGCCATGTGAGCCGCGCAGTCGAAGCCGTTCACCGCTGTGAGACCAGGGAGTAACCCGAGGAAGAACACAACCCCTTTCGAATTCCAGCCCGTACTGTTGACGAAATCGACGAAGACAAAGTCGGCGCTTTGCTTGGGATATGCGCGGACCAGGAGCGCAACCATAACAAATAGCGATGCGGCATTGATGTAAACAACAAGACCGTTGAGGATGTAGGGATACCACTTGAACAGAGGGATGTTGACCACAACGGCGAACAGCCCTGTGCCACAGTAGCCCAGGTAGTAATGCCAGGGTTGAACGATGAAAGTGGTCCGGCATATCTCGACCAACGCAAAAATGAGTTGCGACGTGATAAGGAAGCATGCCGCTGTCCAACAAAAGTAGCCGGCGCTGGTGAGCCATCCCACAATGTAGCTCAATGCTCGTGCTCGGCGTTTAGGTGCCAACGTCGCAGTCCAGAAAATCTGACCTAGACTCAAACGTCAGATGATAACCATCTCTTGTCAACAGCAAAGGTGAAGACTTACCCGCAGAGTGGGGCATAATGGCAGCCATCTCCGCCAGCGAGACACAGATACACATGTCCAGGATGACAACCATAATATAGCCAAAGATGCTGACGGGGCTCCCACCGACCCCGATCGAAACAGCAAGGTACGTGCCGATGGCTAATGGTGTGGAAGTTATCGAGTAGGCGATCCCCAGCGTGCTCCAAAGCTTGAACGGCTTCGTCTTGGGCGAGACACGTCCTGTGCTGACGTCGATGTCAGCCTCCGGCGGGGGTACCTCGTCCATCCTTGAAGTCTTTGTCAAACCCGACATGGTCGCGGCGGATTCGCGTAGGACCGAAATAGGTGAAGTGAGATTTTGTGGTGGCAGAAGTCTGCTGACGGTGGGCATTGAACCATGGTTATTCCCCCTTCTAAATACCGTTGTACTGAAGCGACAAGATTCCCCCCACGCCACCACCGTAAGCCCGCCAAAAGAGGCTTTACGCGGACGGGGCAGGTGACAGCGAACACGCTCAACGATGGGTAAACTTCGCCTTATCAACCACCATAGCCATCGACTAATGATAAGAATGTACCAGGCGTGATAAAGTGCGAAGGCAGGTCGCTGTTTTGGGAAGCTAACAGCGGATTGCCATTGAGCGTCTCTGTCTTCTGCATAGCTTTTGATAGAGGCAAACGAACGAGGCGAATCTTCAAAACGACCGTCAGGTCAAGAATAATCTTTCGGCTAAGGTTCCTGCCGTCGAGAGCTGGAAGGATCCATCACAGCACGAGAATTCCTTGCACACTCAATATAATAAAACTCATCGTTTAGCCAGAATCGTCCATCGTCTCCTATCAACCACTTTTCTTCCCGACACGTAACAGCACATCAACAGAATGTCCAAATCACTTCAAGGGAAAACGGCCATCGTCACAGGCGGGTCTCGGGGCATTGGCGCGGGCATCGCCGTCGAGCTTGCAAGCAGGGGTGCCAATGTACTCATCACGTACCAGAGCGCCAGGACACAAGCCGAAGAAGTGGCGGCAAAGATTCGCAGCCACGGCAGCGAAGCACTAATCGTTCAAGCTGGAGGCAGTGACAAGACTGGGCCGACACGCATCGTCGATGCAGCCGTGAACAAGTGGACCAAAATCGATATTGTCATCAACAACGCGGGAGCAGGTGATGACTGCTTGCTGAAGGATATGACATATGACTTGTGGGACAAACTCCTCAACTGCAATGTCCGATTCGCCACTTTCTTGGTGAAAGAATGCATGCCTCATTTCGGCCCAGCACCCCGCATTGTCAACATATCGAGCGTCATGGCTCGTATGGGCAGCGCATACGGAACCGCGTATACAGCATCCAAGGCCGCCTTGGAAGGAGTAACCAAGGTCTGGGCCGTGGAACTCGGGCAGGACTACAACGCGACTGTCAATTGCGTAAACCCCGGCCCCGTGGGCACAGACATGTGGCTTCGAGACACAGGTGCTGATGTCCTGGCTGAGTGGGATGTCAAGATGAAGGAGACCCCGGCAGCGGCCAGAATCGGAACTGTGGATGACATTGCGCAGATCGTTGGGTTCTTGTCCGAGGAGGCAAGCAGATGGTCGACGGGCAGCACGGTGAATGCGAATGGAGGACTATGCTGCGTCTGAACAATCACAAATGTTTTCAAGCAAATCCGTCAATGACTGCGATGTTGCATATGATTGCTGAATTAAGTAAATATATTTTACCACGAGTTTCAGAGAACGATGATATCCCTGGAAGGATCATTACATCAATTCCCAATGGACATGTCACATTTGCAACCTTTGTGGTTGACAGCGACCGTGTTGTAGTTCCATCAGCAGTGACGTCGAGCAGATCTTGAAGAAAAGGATGTGAGTCCTGTGTCAAGGTGATGTGGCCAGCCGAGGCGTTCTACACGGGAGGGGTTTCAGTGGTGAAATCGAATGAACTTGATGTCCACCCGCCGTGGGGGGCTAGCCGCTGACACGTCGAAAGCCTTCGCGGTTCAATTCAACCAACATGTCTTTGTACGATGCCGCCGAACTTTTTGTCTTCCGGAGGAATCAGCGAGGCCAACTACATCCTACGTGACTTTCATAAACAGGCTCTCAGCGAGGCCGCCCGACCACGGAAGAACGGGCATCCGACCTGTTACAGCTAGCTCGCTGTGCGAATGGCCCAGAACTGCCACCCCACCTTATCTCTGAAAAGCCACTGAGTAGATAAGGGTTACGTTACTGATAAAACCTGTTTTCCCCCGCCCTTACCTTCCTGATCATACCAGGCCGATTTCAATCTGCTTCGCCAGCAACACCCGACCGCATCGTTTGCGACTGCCCGTCCAGGTTCCATGCCTCGGTATTGCAGAACCCGTACGTTCACTGTGTCGCACCCTCCGCCCTACAAAGCTAGGGCTCCTGTCAGACGGACCAAAACATACACGGGTTGTTGGACATGTCGCGACCGCGGCACCAAGTGCGATGAGCAGCGACCCGAGTGCCGCAAATGCCTAGACGCCGAGATCCACTGTGAAGGATACAGTGTGAGGCTGGTTTGGGAAGACGAGCAGAATAGCGGTCACCGTGTTCAACGACGAACGCTTATACCAAGGCAAGACCCTGGGCATTCATCTCTCACCGTGGACGAGCTCAGCTCTGCGTTGGCTGAGATCGACTCGGCCGACATCAAGCCGAACATCGCTTTTGCAGCAAGCCGTGGGCCATTCTCCGTTTTCCAATTCTCGCAATCATGGTCACCCAGCCATGAACCCTCTCTTCCCCAGCGAGTTGGTCAGATTAATAGTCTGATAGCAAAGGACACTGCCACGACTAACCCCGCAGAAGGGAGTCAACAAAGCCATGTTTATGCGTCTGCAGCCTCAATCGTGTCCGCCTCACCGAGAATCGTTTCCAGTCTTGACGGAAGTGAAGAAGACAACAATGAGCACTCATGCATGGCTGAGGCCAACCTTGCCGAATATGAGCATCCTGATGCGGCAATGGCCATGATATCCATCAAACAGAAAGTTCAACCACATATCACGACTTATATATCATCCGCCTCACCAGACGAGCGTACGCTTTTGCACTATTGGATCACTGAACTAAGCGAAATGATGCTACCAACGCCACGCCAGGATAACCCCTTTCGCACGATATTTATTCCCCTGGCGCTTGCAGCATCGGACTCGAGCAGGAGTTCTTCTGCCAATGTAGCCTTGCTACACGCGATATATGCCGTCTCTGCCTTCAATCGGGCTCGAATTCCAGCTTCTCCTGGATATGTGGAGGCACTGGGTACCAAACATCATGAAATCAGTCTCCGTCATCTGTGGATGGCTTTATCGCAGAACGAAGCCGAAGCCGACTCGTCGCACCGGGAAGCTATTCTAGCCACCATCATTACCATGTCATCCATTGAGGTCATGATAGGGGCCTCTGCAACCTGGCGTACCCATCTGGCCGGTGGAAGGTCTTGGTTACGTTCGACCATAGCAAGCAATGCCACCCAGAGTGAATGTTTCTGGACGTTGTGCCAAATTTTCATTTGTATCGACACTCTGGGAAATCCTGGCATCCATGGTCTCACACCAAGCAGTATCCTTGAACCGCTTGAGACTCGCAACTGTCCCCTTACAAAAACCATACTGGATAAGCATTATTGCTTGGAGGAGCTCTTCGGAATTACGAAATCGACGTTGGAGGCGATCATGAGAATCAAGCA